GGATGAATAGCGTCTTGGATTTGACATTTAGTTGCATCTTCTTTTTGTGTTTTTCTTCCTCCAGCGGTGGCGTGTAGTTCTGACACAGGGTCTCATCGAGATTGTCTAGCTAGCCAATATCCGAGTAATTGTCGATGACTTGATGGGAAAGTGCCTTTTCTGGTGAGGGGGGGAGGAGGGGTAGAGAGGCGGGACAGGAAATAGGTCCAACTCAAAACATTAAAAATGCATTTTTAGTTCATTCTTAGTATTTGAACATGGCTTTTTCTGTTGAAGCTCCAGAGGAGCTCTGCACTACTAGTGCTGAGACTAGCGGGTCAGAATCATTTGGTTGATGGTGAGGATGGTTTTCCAGCCACTGTGAGCTCATAGAAGGTAGAACAGTCGAGGAGGAGGAGGATGAGGAGGAAGAAGGGGGGGGTTTGGCTGAGGAAACTGTGATTCACGAGTCCAAACATGAGAGTCAGCCCCATCATCAAGCGGCTGTTGATGGAAAGGGGGGGTTGTTTTTGACTGATTAATGCTTTTCAGACCTTTGGCTACAGGTGTCAACACTTTAGTCTTTCAACAGCAGAGGACAGCCTTCCTCCACGTCTTTCAGAACAGCTTATGCACTGGCTATGTAGGATTCAAAGGCTTTGGCGCAGGAGTGTTCTGGTACCAGCGAGGGCAAGTCCGTTTTTCGTTCATCTGGTTAGTTCATCCACTTCCGGCAATTCCAGGCTCCACAATGGCAAGGGATCTTGTGCTGGTCATCTTCAAAATCAAACTGGTAGTCATATGTCAGCTGGAATGAGGGAGAAAAAGAACGTTAAAGGCTGCTGACAAAAGTGTGAATACGTAAATCCAAACTTTGTGTCAACGCTGGATCCTGTGCACTGCACCTCTTCTCCTTTGGGGATCCTGCGACTGGAAATGATGATAATCTTGTCCTCTTTATCAAACGTTACCACCTCGGCAACACAGTTGGGGGCACAGGAATGGTTTACGTAGCTGGCACACAGAGAGAGAAGTCAGTCGGCAGGCAGGCGGGGTGAAAGGTCGCAGGTGAAGGCGGTCATTCAGAAACAAAAAACTCACCGAGCTGGGCCCCCGGTCAGCGTGGCGTCAATCACCTGCTCGTTGTTGATGCGAAACATGTAGATCCCGCGGTTCTACGGGCAGATGGCAAGTTAGAAACGCAGGTTTCCATACAAACAACATGGATTTGGTTCAGCCTGAGCCTCATTTAGACTCTGGTGGCAGAGCTCTGATAACATCTGTGAGGACGTGCGGTGGAAGTACCTGAGATTCGTAGATCTTCTCTCGCCGGTTGGCCACCTCGTTGCGGATGACAGTGCCGATGTACTCGATGACCATGGTGTGCTTCTCCAGGTCCTTCGCAGCGTAGAGCCCCAAACCCTGAATGCGAGAGCGCGCCAGATACACGTTGTTCTTCCACTCGGTCTTCAGGCGGCGGTACTGGGAGGACTTGGAGTGGACAAACTGCTTGCTGTAGGGCGTGTTGAGCTCTCCAGTGAAGGTGCTCTGGTAGGCCTTCGACACACTGGTGCTATTCAGAGTATGAGGCCTTGAGGCAAACAGAGAGCATTGTTGAACATTTCTTGTTTTCTTGAGGCAAAACTAAATATATTCTTGTCACCACTTGAACAGCAAACAGATAAAACGGTGTGACTAAAAGAAAATTTTAAAGGCTCTTCCATCCACCAAACTAGGTTTACCTCTTGCACTGCGTGGCGACCTTTGGCTCTGAGCGAGCGCAGCCGGTTGGATTTATCATGAGAGGAAGCTCCATCAGAGGGTGCCGGCCATATCGGAACTGGTAGTTTGGGCAGTTCTCCACGCCCGGAAGCTAAAACACAACAAATCAGTTTCTGGCCACGCAGTCTGACAGATTTTCTTCATGGTGATTTTTAAATGGCTGGATGAATCTGGAACTGAACTATACCAACGTAAGAAATCAAGACACACAAGAGGTAATAATTTCTTACCGACTCAGTGATCCGCATGACGGCGTGAATTGTGAGTCCATACATCTCCTCCCCCTTCAGCTGGTCAGTGAACAGCTTCAACATGGACGAGTCGTCGCGGAGTTTAGCCACTTCTTGAACGATTCGGTCCCAGATCCCTACAGACAAAAGCAGCAGACTGCATTAGCTCCCGTTTCTTTTCTTCTTCTTTTTTTTTTTTAAATCTACCGCTTTCAGACAGCGTTTGGCTGCTCGTACCCTCTGGCGTCGTGTCCCGGTACTGCAGATCCTCCATCCCGTGCTCCAGGACCCGGACCTCGAACAGCGGGTGCCCGTCGTCCTCGCCAATGCGGCAGCGGTAGCGGCAGCGCTTGTTGGGAACGCGCGTGCTCCAGTAGATGCGCGTGGCCTCGTAGCCGACGGGGAAGATGGCAGTGGGAGAGTGGAAGTTGGCCATTTGGGACGGCAGGAGCTGGCCGACGGCGTGGAAGATGAGGCCGCCGACCCGGAACAGGTGGATGCGGTCCCCTCGCTGCAGGATGCTGGCTATCTGCTTCACCTCGTCCCGCTCGATGTAGACGCGGCGCAACACGGCGAACGTGCTGAGCTCGTCCTCGCTGGGGCCCTTCAGCTTGTGCTGCGTGCACAGCATGGTCTTGTCCTTGAAGAACATGCAGCGAGCCCGGATGGCGCAGGCAAAGTGGTAGACGTTGGGGCAGCGCAGCCGGTTGCAGCTGTTGGTGGCGCCCGTTTTCTGGCAGTACGCGCAGAGAGTCCTCAGCCCGCGCCGCAGGGCCACCTCCACGTTGATCAGGGCCCCCCCCTGGGTCTCGTACACCTCGGTGGACCACAGGGCACAGTTCAGGTGCACCCACAGGTCCACGTCGATGTTGAGCAAGCGCGCCGGCCCGTCGGTGGCCCCGTCGCCCTCCTCGTGGCAGAAGCAGCACTTCCGTTTGTCCCGGGGCAGCTTTTCAGGCCGAAGAGTAATGCGCAGGCGCTCCATCAGCTCCGAAACCTCCCGGCTGTTCTCCTTCTTCGAGCCGCCCTTGCGTATGGAGATGACGATCTGAAGGCGCTTCCAGCGGATCCCTTTCCATTTCTTCATTTTAGGGTGCACCACCTCCTCATCGGGGGAGAAAGGCCGCCGCTGCTTGACGGTCTTTGGGGAAGACTCCATGGTACTAGGAGAGTATTTTGGAGTGGTCTCAGAGACAGAGTCCTCCTCCTTGACAGCAGGACACAGATTATCTTCAGGGGGAGCGGAAGGGTCAGACGGTGCAGGGGCAGGTGTAGCTTCTGTTAGCGACTCGGCAGCAGAAGCCTCCGACTCTGTGACATTGGCGGTGGGAGTGGGAGGAGCATCGACATCCTGGTCAGGCTCGGTCTTTGTCTGGACACTGATGGGGCTGGAGGGCGGAGGCGTTGGAGAGCTAGACTTCTTGGAAGATTCAGCCTCAGTGGCTTCGGCCGGCAAAGATGGAGAAGGCTGAGGAGGCAGCGGCGACGGGGGCGGAGACTCCTCCACTGGTATAATAGGAAGGTGGCGTACATCCAAATCACTTACATTGGTTGTGTAACAGTGCTGCACTGGTTTGTCCTCGTTCTCTGAGAATTCCTGAGGGAGAAATACACACGACATTTTAACTTCAAGGATGAAAAAGATTTTTTTTTTTAATTCATAAAACAATCAAGCCACCAAAAGGATCAACCTGTTTAACAAGAGCCAAAATGTCTACTTGTTTCTTCAGCGTACAGCCAGGCAGAGACACGTCAAACTGTCTTAGCCAATCGTCCTGATTCGGTGAAGCGCTGTCCTTTGTGCTTAGCTCCCCTGAAAAGCATTCAACAACAACATTAGTCAAAAAATTGCAGTTTGAAAAACTAAAACACAATCTTAGTCAACACGTTACTGGACAGCAAACCCTAAATCCTGAAAGCTTAATGAAGGCCTACCTGACTGGCTAGGCCCTTTCCCAGGTCCATCCACTCCAGGCATGTCAGCGTTTTGAGGAGGGAACGTCACTTCATAGGAGCCTGGCATCCTGATGTTGAGCAGCTGAGCCATGGCCATCATAACATGATTAAGCCTCTGTGGAGAATAGAAAGAGATTTTGTGAATCTACATGGAGGTGATAAAAAAGAAAAAGAAACAAAAAACGGTGTAAACATTTCACAGGTTAGTACCTTGGCTGCAGCAGAAGACATTGTGAAGGTGACAGAAACCTCGTTGCTTTTGGTCTTGTCCCAGTGGTTAGAGGTGGAAACTGCTTTGTTATCAGGTGCCTGAAATGGTTTATTTTCTGGAAAAACTGAAAAAAGAAGAATTTTATATGGAAGTCATTTAAATTGGAATACAAAGATACACAAAGATGCTGCAGATCATGATGTGCGCAGTACCTGGGATGGCAGTGCGGGGTATTAGGGGTATGATGGGGGATATTGCTCTTTCCGTCTCCTCCTCTTTAGGCTCTCGCAGCTGAGGAAATCGTGGTGTTTCTTCCCCTAGACTGCTCTCAGGAGATGATGCTGGGATAATGCTTTCTGGAGCATCTTCGTCATCACTTTCCATTCTATTGAAAAAAAGAAAAAGATATTTCCTCCATTCAGAGAAGCCTTAAAGGAAATGGGTTTTGTATATGATAATGAACAGAGGAGAATGAGTTTACTGTACCTTATATCTTCATTCTGGTTATGTGGTGGAGTGGGCAGAGCTGCAAGAATGTCTACACCCTTCACCTCCTCTGTACTAGATTCTGCAGATAAATCAAAATATGACAATGCATTTACAACCCCTTAATAATGCTGATGAACCATTCTCAAACACTGAGAGACATACTTACCCATTGGCTCTTCTGCTACCTCTGTATCCTTCTGGCCCTCTGAAAGCTCCTCCCCAGGAGTGACTCCGTTCAGCAGCTTGTGCTGTACGGATGGTGGTGGGGTAGGTGGCAAAGAGGAGGGAGGTGTTGGAGGGTTGCTGAGGTTACTCTGTACAAGATTTTGAAAAACAAAAACGTTAATTAGATTCAAGTTTTAAATGACTTTGCTCTTAAAGTAGCATTATATCACAAACAAAAATTATACTCCAAGACTTATACCTTTGAAAGCAACTGAGAGTAGTAATCTGGGATGTTGTCCAGCACAGCATTTCCAAATGACCCCTTAAGCTGGGCTTTACCATTGACTGGACTGCTTCCAAAAGGTGCAAAGAGATCCAGACTGGCAGTGATCGAAGGCTCCATCAAGGGTAGCAGAGAGAGACCCTAGGAGGCAAATGACCTTAGTCTGAATATGCAATAAGTCCCTCCTAAAAACAAGAATGATTATTTCTAAAAATGACTGTACCTGTTTGAGTTGTTTCAACAGTGCCTCAGCACTCTTCCCAACCTCCTCCTTCTTATTCTTTTTTCGTGAAGTGGGCCCTTTGTCTCCAGCTGCCTTATTTGTGCGTTTTGGCTTTTGTACAGGAGCCCTTTTAGTTATAGACTGTAAATCCTGTGAAGGTTGACAGAATAAACCAATTTTTTACTACAAATTAAATGGAAAAAAAAAAAAAATTATCAATGGACAAAGAAAAAAAACGTACCTCCATATTTCGAGGAGTTCCTTGAAGTTTTTGCTCGAGCATTGCAAGTTTGCTGTTAATGTGACCGTTGATCTCATTATGGATGCCTTCAGAAGGCCTTTGAGCACCCAGTTGAAGATTCTTGGTTTTCAAGAGTTTCTGTAGAAGCTGCTGTCCAGTCTCAGGTCTGGGACTTTGGGCCTCAGTGTCTCTAGAAACATTTCCAGTATTGTTAAAGGTAGTGTTGTTGCCAGATATAACGGTCTCACCCGCTGCTTCTCTCTTTATGACACCAGGATTAGTCTCTTGTGCATCACACTGAAACTCTCTTGGTTCCTGTTTGATGTTCTGTATCGTCATCTTGCACAACTCCCCTTGCGGCGTGTGAGGAACGTGGCTTTCTGTAGCTTGCTGTTGAACAATTGTGCCTTTCTGTGGCCCATTGATAATAACTGAAGGTGTCATACATGTTTCAGTGGCTGATGACGGAGTCTCTACTTTCAGACCAGGACAGTCAAGTGGGCTCCTGGCTCCAGGCGATCTGAGTGGGGATGCCTTGACTTGGCTGTATGGACTCCCTCTTCCAGCTCTGCCGTCACCTACAGAAGGTGAGGAGACGTGGGACGAATGGGGAGAGGCTGGGTGAGCGGGGCTCACGCCAAAAGGAGCTCTTGGAGAATATGCATGTGATGGGGAGCCCTGCACACGGCCTGCCATTAGTGCCTGTTGTTGACTCTGGTTGGGAGTGGGTGGACGCATAACTTGATTAAACGAGTGTCGATCCCCGGGAGAATTGGTTATCGGCTGACGTGGAGATGCGGGCCGCACCATGCGATTTGGGTCCATGGGGGAAAGTGGCATAGGTACCTGGCCTCTCATTATGTGCTGCTGATTCAATTCCCCTGATTGTGGCTGTTGCTGGCCAGGGGCCATCATCCCTTGCTGCATCTGAGGACCAGGCTGCTGTCCAAACATGCCTGGCTGTTGCTGACCTGCCACTGCTCCTGGTTTCCCCATGCCTCCGTATTGGATCTGTTGACCGTCCATCCCCATAATTGGCTGCCCAATCTGGGGAAGCTGGGGTCTCGGCTGACCTTGGCCTAACATCTGCATCATTTGTCCCTGATGCAGCTGCCTCTGTGCAAGCATAGCCTGAATGTGTTGAATCTGTTGATTTGGTGGTAAATTACGGAGCTGAGGATGCTGAGCAGTAATAGCCCGGATGTTAATAGAAGTGCGGATCTGTCCAGGTGGAACTCCAGGCCTTAGTGCCATCATTCCTTGCTGCGGAGCCTTCATCATGCTCATCATTGCCTGTTGTTTCTGCTGCTGGGCCAACAGTGCTTGCTGTTGTGGGTTTAGGCCCATTGGAACTGGTTGCGGCTGGCCAGGATGATTTTGCCCAATGATCTGCTGCTTTATGGAGGGATCTTGAGACTGTTGTGTTGCATTTTGAACTGGCTGCTGTTGTGGTAAAAAATCAGTTGGTTTGCCTTCTTCTTTTATTGTCATCAAACCAGGTTTGTCTACACTAAGGGGACCGTGTCTGTCAAGAGCAAGTGAAAGTTGATGATGTTGCTGGTGAGGCACACCAGTTTGCTGGTTTCCAGTTAAACCTGGTTGTTCATGCACAGACTGAGAATTGGACTGATGATGTTGTACATACATCTGGTTCTGATGATGCTGCTGCTGTAACTGCTGACGCCCCAGGTCAGACTGATGGTCAGGTTGGGACACCTGATTGGGAGTGGAGGGCCCACTCTGCTGCGGTGGAGTTCTCGAAACAGGGCTGAGGATTCCACCCTCTTTTGCCCCTGAGTTTTGGCTGTCTGCAGACCCGGTAGGTTGGGGTGTGTTGCTTCCGGCTGAGGGTGGGGACCTCATTTGTGGGGTCGAGGGCTGGGACAGTCCCCCTTGGTCTTGGCTAGTCTGACTGATCATCTGTGTTGGGTGTCTTTGCTGTGTCATCTGCTGCTGTTGAAGGTGGGTTAAATTCTTTGCAGCATTCTGTTGCTGCTGAGAGGCCAGCATCTGTTGGGCCAGAATATTCTGTTGTTGTGGGGTCAACTGTGCGCGCAGTCCTGGGTGACCTGGAGGTCTAACTACACCCTGCTGATTCATCATCAGCTGAGGCCTCTGTTGCTGTGATGGCTGATTCCCCATCATCCCTGACTGAGCAGCCATCATGGCTTGAGGATGGTTAAGAGGCTGGCCTGCCACAAGGTTATGCTGTGGTGGAGCAACAGACTGACCTCCAACCATTGCTTGTGGGACTTGCACCATGTTCTGCTGATTAGCCTGATTGGCTAGCATTCCCTGCTGAGGGTTTACTTGCTGTTGAGCCATTAGCTGGTTGCCCATCATCCCAGGCTGTGGCTGGGTGATTAAACCAGACTGCTGAGCTGGGTGTGGCATTGGTTGTTGACCCATCATCTGCTGCTGTTGCTGCTGCTGAAGCTTTGCCATCTGCATTCTATGCTGAAGCTGTCTTTCCTGAAGAACCCTAGGATCAGCACCTTGCATTCCAGGCGCCTGTGGGAAAAATCCTGCTGGAGTCCCAGGAGGACCTGGAACCCTGGCAGCAGGAAGCTGCGGTTGTGCTCCTCCAATAAAGGGCTGCCCTTGGGGCATTCTTAGAGGCATTCCACCTTGGGGCATCATGCCGGGGTGCTGCCCCACCACAGGTGCTCCCTGCTGGCCCATCATCATTTGGCCAGGCATCTTTGGAAACATGTGGGAAGGTCCCCCTTGTGCAGAATGGCCTTGAGGAAGAAGGCCTGAGCCTTGCTGATGCTGTTGTTGCTTGCTCCTGTATTCTGCAATAAGATTGGTGTGCTCTTTCTGCTGCTTGCGTACCTGCAATAGAATAGTTATGAACAGGTCTTAATGTCACATCTACTTGTAAAAGTCCACCGCACTGCAATCGACGTCTACAAAATCTACACACCTGGTCAAGCTGCTTCTGAATTTTGCTTTGCTCCTCTGTGACCAACTTCAGTTTCTCTGCATCTGCTTCAGCAAATTCCCTCCCAGCTTTCTTAGCAGTACGTTGTTTAGCACAGAGTGCCTTGCGTGATTTTCTGTGAACTCCAATCTGCTCCTCCAAAAATTTCAGTTGCATTTGTAGCAACTGCTGGGTATGAAGCAGCCATTCCTCATATTGGTGCTGTTCTGCATCATCTGTGACAGTGGAAGAAACTATAAACCACCCTCAAGAAAGACTGGTGACAGCAATATACATTATTCCAGACTATTTAAGATTTTTTTAAATAATTGGAAGTATTTTTTTAAGACATACTGATAATTCCTTGTACAAACTGCGGAGGGTTAGGTCTTGATTGTGTGGGATCACTCGGTTCTCCCTCCTAAAGGCAAGAAAAATGTACATAACAGGAGATTATTTTCAAAACAAGATAATTACTCACAACAGAAGAAAATCAATCCATTTCGAAGACAGGTAGCATACCTTTATTGGTCCTGGTACAACCTGAGCTGGATCTGTGCCCGGGGCAGAGGCTAGCCGCTGGGCAAGCAGGGAAACTTGTTGTCTGAGGGCAAAGCAAACAAAAACTAAACAACTACACATCAGGTGTCAACTGCAGTTTCAGAAGGCTCTAAGGTCATTTAGTTTGAGAGCTCTCTTCTGACCACCTATCAGATGACCACCAATGCTGTGTTTATTATTGCAGAAGAGAAGGGTGGTATGTTAGACTATCGTTACAAAAAGAGCAGCTATGGTTAAAAAGGTCACTGCAGCGCAGTTGTTGCTTTTTTGCCCCCAAAAAATGCCACTCACAGAGGACGTACAAGGTAAGAAAAATACAAAGATGGACCTCAGGCCAAAACTCTGGAGGTATATATGGATACAGGAGTTGTTTACCCAGCACTGGTGGTGGTTAAGACATTTCTTAGAAATATTTTTTGTATGGATAAAAAAGTACCTAAAACCTAAATCGGAAATGTTCTAAATTATACTATTGCAACAAACAAAAAAATCTCTTAAAAGTTTTATGCTTGAAAAAAAAGTACCTGTTGATGCCTGAAGGGACAACCATTGGATCCTGCGCCAACACTCTCTTAATACCCTTAAGTGCCACCATCTTTGCCTTGGCAATAGGATCCATGATGTCATCAGCAGCAAATTTTTCCAGATCTGAGCCAAGAAAGAAATGTTGCAGGTGGAGTGCAGAAAAAGAAAAGTTGATACATAAAGCAGCGATCCTCCATTGTACTTACCCTTATCTGGGAAGAAACTGTTGGGTAATGCTGACTGCTTAACCACTGGCTGCTGCTGATGGCCAAGGCCTGGGTGCATCCCCGGCTGTCCTGCTCTCATCATGGCTTGTTGTTGAGTCATAGCCATGTGAGGCTGAGGTGCCATTCCAGGTCCTATAAGCCTTTGCTGCTGTTGCAACATGTGTGGACCACGGGGTACCATTCCAGGTTGTGCTACCATTCCTTGCGGTGGTGGTCGATGCTGATGTTGTAACATTAGCTGCCCAGGTGCCTGTGGGTTTGGATGTTGACTTGCGAGACCAGGAAAATGAGAAGACATGCTACCTTGTTGAAGGGAACTCAATTGCTGCTGTTTCTGTTGCTCATTTTTCTCATGTTCAAGAAGATCTTGTATCAGAAGAGGCAATTCACCTTCTAAGGAACTCTCTACCTTTTCCAAATCTACTGCAGGAGAGTGTTGCCCTCCTACATCAGGTAGCCCCAGTGGATCATCACCAATGTCTCCATGTGGGGCACCTGAAGGAAAAGAATCACCTTGGCCTTGCAAAGGGTATGGAAGCCCTCCTAATCGAACAGAGCTGAGTGAGGCTGACTGGTTTTCCGTCTGTGCTGGCTTGGCTATTGTTGTGGTCCCGCCAAGCAGCATCGACACAGCCTCTCCCATTTCATCCTTCACTACCGTCTGTCCTGGCTGCAGCTGAGGGGTCAAACCTCTGTCCTCTACTTTGACTTTAGAAGTATCAACTGTTTCTGCTGAGGGTGGCAGCTGGGTAGCAGATTCTTGTGTAGCAGCTGGAATTGTTGTTGAAGACTTATGTCTGAGTTCCACTTTAGCTTTCTCTTCCACTTTAATGTTAGAAGATCCAGGCGTTTCACTTTCTGCTTCCACTAGCCGCAGCTGGTCTGAGAATACATCTTTAGGATCACCTTGATCCAGTTCAGGGTCAGTGTAGGCAAGCAAGTCAAACTCATCACTGTTCAGTAAGTCATCTAGATGTGGATCATTGGTTTCAAGATTACCCAAGTTACCCAAATCATCATCTCCTTTATCAGGGTCCAAATCCAGAGCGAGATCATCCTCATCTTCCACACCCCCATCCGCTGGAGCATCCCCGAGCCCCTCTAGGTCAGGCACTGGCAGTTCCACAGCGCTCACTACAGTTGCAGACTGAGGCTGTGTCACTAAGCCTGGCTGAGTAAGTCTATGCTGCTCAGCACCAGGGGCGCTGGAATTTGAAGTAGCTGCCTGAGGCTGCATGTGGGGCTGCTGTGTTACTGAGCCTGTAGACTGTTGAGGCAGTAAGACTGATAAACCCCCTTGTGGTAACCCAAGCTGTGAGTCACCACCTCCCTCAGACTGAATACCCCCAGCCTGAGCTACAGCATGTTGCTGAATATAAGGTGCACCCATCTCTTGCTGTCCAACAAAGAGACGTGGTCTTGGTTGAGGTCCACGGGGCATAAACTGCGGTCGCAGGGGTAGTCTTTGGGAATTATGCCTCAGTTCAATAAACTGTGGAGGGGGGCCTTGACCCAATGGTTGTATGGTTTCTCCTCCATGTCCTGACATCATGGTGTGAGGGTTACCCAAGCCTTCCATACCTTGGATATTGACAGCAGGGTTAAGGTTGTGCCTTATGCCCATAGCCTCCATACCAGGTTGAGGGAACCTCCTTTGACCAGGAGCCTGGCCCTGCCAGTGAGGAGGGAACTGTTGGCGAGGAAACATGCCCTGAGGTCTGGTGGGCCCTGGTAGCCTGCAGAAAAAGGTATAAAAAATATAGAAATAAGTTATATATTCTACAACAAAAATAAACATTAGTAGTACATAATCCTGTGGACTAATAAACTCTTTAAGGGGCAGCATTTATCTTTATTATATGGCAGTGACAGTTTCATGCTGGAGTTTACCTTAGTGCAGCAGGTTCCCCAATGGCAGGCGTTCCTGGTAGTTGGGGGCGAATCAGCTTTTCATCCATTCCTCCAACAGCCATGGGCATCTTCCCTGTCACACAGGCCTGAGCTCCAGCAGTAGCAGCAGGAACACGATCCTGAACAAATTAATAAGAGCCAAAAAATTACATATAAAATATGATAAAGTCTGACGGACGGAGAGTTGAATTGGCTTTATTCCATAAAACAGCATAGAAAAGGCTTTTTTCTGGCAGTGTTTGGCTTATTGAAACTAGTCAATAAACCTCCCATATTTACTGGTAAGCACATATAAAAGGTTAATATTATAACTATCAAGATTTACCTGTGGATAGGGTGGTGGTGCCCTGTGGGCTTTGTCTTGTTGAAACGCCCCAATATCTCCACCAGACCAGCCAGGTGATGTGCCTTCAGCAGCTGCGGCAGCGGCAGCAGCGGCCTCCTTCTCTTGTCTCATAGAATTTCTCTGCATTTGCTGTCTGATAAGGAATTCCCTTAGTCTCTGACGCTAAAAAAAGCAACAACAAAAGCAAGCTGCATTAATCAAAACCCAAATGTGCAGATATGTTATGTGTTCAATGGCTACTTTCAATACCTGTCTGTGTTTCTCCAGTTCTGATGGGCTAAGTCCTACTAATGAAGGGTCCTGCACTGATGACATGTCAGGCATTTCTTGATTGGCTGGCATAGATGGCTGATGAGGCAGCTCTGTAGGGTGGCCAGTTGGTAGCTCTTGAGATCCAGAAGGGGCTGGCCTGGAGCTGAGATTGTCTGCTCCTAATGACAGCTGAGGCTGTGGCTGAGGCTGACCCGGTACCATCTGAGTCTGTTGCTGGGTAATTTGGAAGCTTCCCCTGATGGGACTGCGGCTGAAAGTTTGGAGTGCTGATGGTTTACCAGAGAGAGTGTCCCCTGCAGAACTGTTGGTAGGGTGAGCCAGAGGGGGCTGATTAGAATGAGGGGAAGTTTTGTAACTTCCATTTCCCTCTGGACCAAGAGAAGGAGTGCGAGGGGGCTTTTGGACGGCAGCAAAAGGGTCTCTAGACTGTGGCCTTGATGGTGGCTGAGAGCAGGGGTCTGGTGACTGGAAGCGAGGTGTAGCGGGAGAGTGGACAGAGTAAGCATCATTGGACAGGCCACCCGGAGTGTGGGGAGACTGAGAGCTGCCCTGAGACTGAGGACTAGAGGGCACCCTTGGACATCCATGATCCTGTTGAGCTACTGGGTGTCTCTGGGGTCCAAGAGAACAATTGTCACCTGACTGTGGTCTGGGAGTAAGAGGTGGATGAGCATGAGGATCAGAAAAAGTATGTGAGGGAGACTGTCTGTAGTTCTCGGAAGGATGACCTGGAGAGGCTCCCGGATGAAGTGCTCCACTCTCCCCTTGGTGCATTCGTGGTGTCATAGGTGCTTTGAATAATCCATCGCCACACTCGAGCATCCCAGCAGGGGAACCAGTGGAAAGCTCAGGTCTTCCAACAGAAGCAGAACGTGGAGAAGGCGCACTCATTTCAGCCCTGTACTGTCCTGCACTTGCAGGTGAGGAAGCCACTGCAGAGTGTGAGGGGGATGAACCATATTCTGATCGTCCCATTCCCTGCTGGCTTCTGAAAGAGTCTCCATAGTGGGTATTATGGGAGGGTGAGAAGATGGGTGACTCCCCAAGCCCAGGACCTTGTGAAAGGGGACGTTCAGGGGGTCCAAGGGACTCAAGAGAGCCTTGCTGCTGCTGCTGCTGCTGCTGCTGCAGCTGCAGCTGTGATCTGAAGTAGGGGTCAACATGCTGAGCCCGTCTGGGCGTCCCAGGAGCTCCTGGTTGCATGTCAAAAGGGCCAAGACTGGCTGGCCGTCCCTGAGGAGGACCCTGTGGGCCGGAAGCAGAAAAACCTGAGGAAGAGGCCTGTAGAGGGCTGGCACCAGCATGAGAGAAGGATGCGGTTTGATGTGCGTGAGGATGAGGTGACTGAGGGGGAAGTTTGGCCAAAGGATCTGTCCTTATTTCAGCTGACAATGGTGTTTTAAGAGGTCCCTCTGAGAAAAAGACGGACGATGATCCTGAATCGGACTGGAAGGGAAATGGGCTGTCTGCAGAGCTCGGCTGGGATGAAATAGATGTGGAGCCTGAAGGTGGTGGGATCTGGAGGTGCAAGTTCGGCCGGTCTCCTTTTGAGCGACCTGGCTCTGTTTTGATTGGCCTGCACACCTGGCTTTCTGCCTGCTGCAAGAGCCAAAGAGAACAGTACATAGCAAACATTAACAATGTTTAAAACCGTTAAGTAACAGGCAAAAAATTTAACTTGACAATACAAAAGGATCATGATGTAACCAACCTTCTGTGCCTTGTTGATCCTTTGAGCTGCACGGTTGTCTTTGGCCTTTTGCTAAAAAAAATAGAATTTTAAAGGTTTTACAAAACACTTTACTGTTTGATACTATGGTATTCAATTTAAAGTGGGTGTCATATTTTTGGAAATCCTATATGTAATGTCTGCATATCACAACAAATAAACACAAAAACAATATTACCAATGACATAACAATATAAAGTGTTGTCTATTTTTGCATTGGTATGAGCAATTGGAGTGAGCAAAAGCCAAATCATTCCATTAGAAAAATGAATAAATAAATAAAGGAGAACCTACCAGATATGGAACTTTGTCTGCAGCTGATACCTTCCTCCAAATCTTCATGATCTGCTTACAGCGGCTTGCCCAGTCTGTGGCACAAGAACGTTTTAGTAGCTGCTTCAGAACAGCGACAAAAATCCAAGTTTAAAAAGGCATAACTGAGCCGATACTAATTCTAACAATAATACTAATAATAATTATTACCATTATAATCAAAAGTATTAAATTTCTTCCACACTAACCTGGGTAGTCCTGTTTCAGAGTTGGGAAGTTTGTGTTGGCATAAAGAACTGGGGAAATGGTTGAAAGCTCTCCCAGCTCCTCATCTTTTTCCCATCGCTGGAGACTGCGTTGGTTGTAAGACAGCCCATCGCCTTCTGCCTCTGTGGGAGTGGGTGGGGAGGAGGGGGTTGCCGGGGTAGATGGTGTGGCCCATGGACTCTCCTCACCCCCATCTGGACTGAATAGTCCTCCTCTGTCACTGCACATCATGACAGGATATTACCTAATTAATTAAAATTCTCAAGTGTTTAAAGACTGGGAATGTACTCAAATATTAAGTTTCTCTGACAAATGCTTTGGGCAAACTATATAACTTTAAAAGAACAGGTTCTGAGCAATTCAGTTTTGGTCCTACCGCATGTCAAAGAAGGGTGACTGAGAGAGACCAGGAAAGGCATCCATCATTCCAGCCGAGGGTAGGGAGCCTACAAAACATTTGCCCATGTCAAACAAATCATAACATTTTAAATATGTATTAAAAAAATATGCCTTCAAATTAAGATCAAGTCTTCATCATAATCATCATTATCATTGTTATTGTTATTTATATTGTTATTTATATTATTGTTATTATATGTTATTTATATTGTTATATTGTTATTTATATTGTTCTTATTTTTCAAAATAAAACTCATTGTCAGAGGAAAGACATTTATATTTTCTTTAATCAATTGATTGCAGTACTGTACGTACCTGACAGTGCAGGTCTCTGCGGCAGTGCACTGAGATTTAGCTCTCCCTTATTTCCATCCAAGATGGGCTTCATGCCCCCCAAAGAGGAGCCATCTGGCACTCCGAGAACCTTCCTGAAGAACTGCTCAGAATCCTGACTCTCCACCCCTTGCGGTAGCCCTGTTACACAAGCACAAGAGTATGAACACAAGAATTTTAAAAATCAGATATTCAACATTTTCTTACATCTTGCTGATGAAAAATTGCCCTCAGATTAAATTACCTTCACTTTTCTCTGCATTGGAGTCATGGGGATCAGATGGCACCTGATCCTTTACTGATGAGGATGGTGTAGGAGTTCCTAAAATCATAAGACAATTTCAGCCCCCCTGGAACAAACGCAACAATAATAAACTGGTGGTTTCAGCATCCACACTAACACTTGCCTTCATTGTCTCCCTGAGCCTGTGGGGCCTCAACCCTCTCTTGTTTGAGAGGAAAATTACCTTCAACCACCCAGTCCTTGACCTCGTCTAATGAAGAGAAGAATAAAAGTAATTGTTAAGACCTTTCCCACATCCAGAAGAAAATACTAAATGTGTCAACAATCCTTACTCTCTGGGGTGGTAGTTTTGATCCCCGTCGGTGCTGGCAATGTGGGTCGGACAGGGCATGCACCTGGCCTCTGTCCTGGAGCTATCATCACAGCTTTCTTACTCAAGTCTATCAGCTGCTTCCCAAAGAATGCCTCCTGTGGTAAACCAAAAACAGTTTATAAATGATAAGTTCACTGAAAATGTAGGGAAAAAAAGTTTCCAGACTTTTTAACTAATGAACACTGTGAAAATGGTAACCTGGAGGTACGCTGGAAACATGTCCTCCAGTTTGCTTTTCTTACGGCCCCGACGTTTCTTGGCCTGTTCTTCACCCTCCATGGGTTTAGGATCCATAATGTTATCCGTGTCTGGGTGAGGTCCTACATATTGTAAACATGCAATTCAGCTTCCAGTTCAGTTACAATATCATAACATATGCCACGTTTTGTAGCTTCAAGAAATATAGAGGTATCCAACTAATAGTTATGTTTAAAAGCAAAGCATTTTAAACTTTAAAGTGAAATGTTTTTCTGCCTTGTTCTTAAGTATCTTTGATAATTCCAAGGCTGGTGACTACCATAGAGCACCCACAGACTAAGATAAAAATCATGCACAACATGGCAAAAATGACCAATGTCTTATAGAACAGAAATCAGAAGCCTGATGCTCTTTAACCCCTTTAACCTTCAAATCAAGCACTAAATCTAAAACATTAATACAGGACTGAAAGGGAGCTGTACAGCCTGTTGTTGTCACCAACCTTCTTCAATGGTTCGTTCTATTGGCTGTCCATCCAAGGTGGTCTCTCCAGCAAGCTGGGCAAAAAACTCTTTCTTCATCCTTGTGTGACACTTCCTTTGTCGCACCATAAAGCCTCCAATCCCTATCACAAATAATACATCAAACATCTTTCTGCACTTTCTAATGGTATAATGTGCACACAGATGTTGTACATTCTGATTTACCAGGCCTGTAAGGTTTCCGCTTCCTTTTTTTGCTGTCTTCTGTCTCCTCCGCCCCTCCTTTGAGACCGTCGCAGTCAGCCATGCCTTCAGCGCCTCCCTCTGCTCCCCCATCCCTGTCACCACCATCTCTGTCAGGGCTCCCTAGATGGTCCATTTTGGATTCACAGTCCATGGGTTCACAGCCTAGTTATACAGAGCAACATTCAAAGGATCAGTGCACCACTCTCAGTTTTTCATTATTCTCTAAATCTAAGAAAGTGTGCCAACCTTTTCCCTCTTCTCCTTCTCCTTCAACCTCCCTCAGGTCCATTCCATCTGCACCTCCTTCGCTGCACAGAGTGCCCAGACGGGAGCGACGCTGCCGTCTCTTGTGCAAAGGCGACATGGAGATACTTCGAAGGAGGGACATTCCTGACTCCGTAAGCCACACACCTTCCAAGCGATAAAACTGGGGCTCTGTAATGTGACATTTTCAAATGTGAGTAAATAAAAACTAAACAAACACAGAGTGTTAAGTATATAAATTGAAAACAAACATATGCTTGTAAGAATTTTCACAATTAAGCAAAATCCACAGACCTGGCTCTTTGATCTTAATTGAAGCCATGATGGCTGACTCCACTATGAAAGACACAAAGCAGTGAGTGATGGAGAAAAAAAAAGAACAAAAAAAAAACACATCATCAATACATCAAAGTATATCCTGAGATTCAAACTGATTTTTTTTAATAGTTGTGTCATTCTGACTCACCCACGGGTTTTGGAACATATGGTGTGCAGGATGTGCATGCAAAGCCCTCATCAGAAGCTTGCTCCACCTCATCCTCTGTGTACAGACTCTCGCATACAGCATGGACCCATCTGCAGAGGCACACATAAATAAAGCTAAGCACACCTTTCAACAAATCACACAACAAATCAAAGATCTTATAGAATAATTTATGATGAGGGGAAAATGCATGAATAATCCATTCCCTGCTAGTCGACGTTAGCTGCGGTCTGAGTTTCTGTGTCTGAAACATGAATATGTTCTCCTAACAAGCAGCACCCACCGATCGCAGTACTGACACTGCAGAAGGAGCTCCTCTTCCATAAAGTTCTCTCGGCATACCGGGCAGGTGACGAGGCTCGCACAAGGGCCACAGTGTGTGTAGTTGTTCTGCCACTCACAATGGAAACCTGGCGTGTTGGAACCACACTGGACGCAGCATACGCACCTGGACCGAGGAAGTGTGCCATTTAAACATTCATACTATTCAATATAGATTAAAAGAATGGAGCAAAAGCCCTGCAGATCACAATGCAAGTAATACAACATTCTTTTTACAAGGCTAGAGACAGACCTATGGGCCTCTGGATTCCAAATGCAGATCTAAGATACCAGTGTTCAAGTATTTTACATGAAATGCAAATTTGCATGCATTCATTTCCATTTGACCCAATTCAGAAGGAACAAGACTGAGCAAAGTATTGTACACTGATGTCTTCATTTATTTTACCATTTGCACTTCCAACCACCCTTTGGTACAGTGTGCAGCGGTGGGTCCAAGCAGTAGGTGTGATAGCTCACGTCACAGTCGTCACACAAGAGAAGACGGGAGGGGTCTGAGGCCTTTCCACACACTTCACAGACAATACATTCCAAACATCGCCATCCCTTACGAAGCATCGTCTTGGTGATCTACAGAAAATACCCAGTTTAACCAACCTGCATTTGCAAAAGTGAAGTTTGGAGAAGGAAAAAATGTTTCTTACTTTACTGTTCACACAGTAAGGATGGTAACACTGGGCACATTGAGCACAGGCTAGCAGCTGCCCTTCAGCACCCTTTCCAAAACTTCCACACACAACACACATGTCCTAAAACAGAGGTGAGAAAGTGAGAAAAGAATGAGGATTCCATTATCATTGCATTTAACAGACAACTTCTACAAACCACAGGGTGAATGGAAAAATCTGTACCTGGAGCAGGACAAATTTATCAGTGTTTGAGAAAAGGACCACTGTGTTCTGCATGGTGTCATCTTCCTCATCCTCTTCCTCCTTGTTAACTCCAGTGTCTGAGGTCATGCTTAGCTGTGAAGGGAACAGCAGTTACGTTGAAACGTGTCATTTAAAGACAGAATATATAAAAAAGGTGATAACCAAATATCATTATGAAAATGAATTCAATGAAATAAATAAATAAAACCAAGCTCACCAGGAACGCATCAATGCAAGAGGCCATAGCTTTGAGACGTGACCTCCCACCACGCCCTCTTGCTCCACCTCCTCCTCGAGGTCTACGCTTCCCAGGAAAACTACTGCTTCGCCCCTAAAAAGGGAAAATACATAAATAAATAAATAAACACTCCTTTTAAGGATAAAATTGTGCTGTCGCAAGTACATTCCAAAAAGAAAAATGATAGTTAAAAGAGCTCACCTGTTTGACCCTTGAGCGACCTGGAGATCCTCTACGCTTTACCTTCTCCCTGTCACTTCTGAGGGGTTCAAATGGAAGTGAATCGTCAGTCTCAGTGAGCAGGTTATCTGTGTGAGAGGGGCCAGCAGGTACAAGACCAAGCTCCATGGAAAGCTGAGGATCAGCTTCTCCTGGAGAGCCCAGGAAGCCACTACTGCTCTCATCTCCATGGCTTATATTGGACATTTCATCCAGCAGCAATTCTGGTTTAACCTCCTGAAGTTCCTGCTTTATGTCCATATTATTGCCCTTTATTAAATCATCATCCTCTTCTTCCTCCTCCTCCTCTTCCTCCTCCTCCTCAGAGGGAGGAAGTAACGCCCCCTCCATGTCCATAGCAGAGGAAGTCTCTTGTGAGTCTGCTAATGGAGAAAGAGCAGGAGACTGCAGGTCCACACACGGGCTTCTCTCTAGCTGGTCATCCAAGGACAAAAGTCCCGTTCTGTCCTCAGAGACAGATGAGGCTTCTGACTTCTGTTGGTCATTTTTAATGGCCTCTACAACAGTCATGACATCAGATCCATCCTTTAGTAACTGTTGTGATGAGTCTTGATCAGCTGACGGATTGACCTCTGGCTTTTCATCCTCTGTCCCCACCTCCATGTTTTCAGGGCCTTCTTCTGAAAATGGTGGAGGTTCAACTGTAAGGTTGTTGTTGTTGGACTGTGTGTCTGTTGTGATGTCCTGGGAAGGGGAGGCCTCTGTCACTTGGCTGAGTGCCTCTTCTGATTTCCCTCCATCAGATGGAAGACAAAGGTCCCTGCGTTCTGATGCTGCACATTCTACATCAAAGAATAAGAGAATATTGCCACCATAATATATACAGAAAAAAGTTTTTAAAGATGTTCTCAATAATTGCATGTACAAAGTGTGTTCTATATTCACCTGAAGACACAAGTGGAGCAGCTGGCACATCACCAGTGAATCCTTCTGTTGCTACCTGTGGCTCCCCCTCCAGAGTTTCCTCCTTAACAGCCATTATTGGAGCAGACTTCACCTCTACAACGGAATAGAATTAACATGTTAAATCACTTGTCAGACATACACAGATGCATTCCTAAAGACCTCAAGTGTAAAAAAAGAATTGTCAAGTGAGCGTGCCTTCCTACGGTGTACGATTCAGACTTACCCAGCTCCATAGGCGTCTCTTTTTCAACTTGATCTCCAAACTGGTCTGCATCAGGTGTGCCTTTCCGTCCTGTCGTTGCCTCTGATAAATCTGCTTGCTTTTCTGTTACTGCATTAGCATCCATTTGGACTACCTTCTCCTCTCTGCTCTGTATGTCCATTGTGTATGTCTTAACAGTAGGCTGCTCTTGATCCTCTTTGCAAAGCAGACAAATGACCTTGGCATCTGGAAGCTCCCCCGGCACCGCACACTCGCTGTGCATCCATCTGAGACAAACAAGGGATCATCAATAAATATTCTATGACAATGAAAAATTGACCAGGGTATCACAGCTACATGTAGTGTGCATCAAACAAACCTGTGACAGATGCTACAGCACTGAAGACCTACAGATGGATTGGCAGCCTTGCTGCACACAGCACACATGGAGCTGCGCTGATGCTGGCATTTCTCACACACAGTGTAGGTCTCAAACCATAAGGCCGAACCAGGCAGCCCCAATCCACGGACACCACACTCCATACATACTCGACATCTCTAAAATGACAATAATAAAAAAAAGTGTTTTAACAAAGCATTGATCCAGAATGCCAGAATCAACATATATCTTAGAAAAGCCATTAGAAGTGGGACAAAATGTTTCAAATTTGAAAAAGCCTAGGTGCACTGTTTAGGAGGGAAAAGGGTGACTTACTCTGCATTTCCAGGGGTCAGAGGGAAGAGAATCCATGGCTGGTTGGAGACAGAATGTGTGGTATCCCTTATCGCAAGCATCACATACCAACATTTTGGAGTCTTCCCCTGGTTGTCTGAGAAAATAAGCAATCAAAAACGATTAATTCACATGTTTTTAAAAACATTGAACCTAGCATTAAAAATGCAACATGCATGGAGTATATGTTGAGAAGAATGAACTCACCTGCAAGTCTGGCACACTTTACACTCCGGACACTGCCATCCTGCCCGCTGAATGGGTGTGGCACCGATTTCCAGACAGGCCGCATGATAATGTAGGCCACAGCCCGTGCAGAAAAGTGAATCTGTGAGCTCCCCTGCTGAGTCACACACTGCGCACCAAGACTCCTCACCAGCTGTAAACATAATATATGAACTGATTTTAGGAAAGTCCGCCTCCCCCGATGTCTTGTGAGCATATCCCAATCACAATGACAGCAGATATTTCTATGATCATCTTACCCAGCTCCTCTGCTTTGTCTATGTGTTCAGGACAGAGAAGGATCAACTGCTTCATGGACTGAAAGGATCCACTTGCTGCCGAGCATGGGAAGTGGTAGAATCTTGAGCAGCCCTCAGCGTGGCAACGTATGGTCGCACCAAGCCGTTTGCAATAGTCGCAAAGCTGAAAAAAATCCAATGGCACCGCGTATAAAAGTTACTAGTGTGATGAAATGATTTCGTTTTATATATGATCATCCAGAACATCATTCAAGTCAATAGGCAAAAAAACATACCCGCTGTGTCCCTGAGATGACGGCCTTATCCACATTCTCCAGCTCTTCATTCTCTGTTTGCTTTACTCCCTCTGACCACACAGCACACCAGTGATGAACCCAAACACCCCCTGTGAAATAACAAGGTAAGCATCGTTCATACACCTTACAAACCATACATTATATACATATGAATAATGTATCTAATAGATTCAAACTGAATCTATTTTACCATTCCCAATTTGTGAAAGTCACTACAAAAAGATCTACAAATACGACAAAAAACATATTTTGAGTGTGACCTGAGTCATCAATGAGTGCCGTCAGACACGAGGACTCAGAAAATCCAATGGAAGACAGGTCATCATTTCCAGGCTGTGGCAGTGGGGAAGCAGATGACTTTGGGGCTGGCCGCTCTGAAGATGGACCAAAGTGCCTTAGTTCCCGTTGTCCATGCAAGCTCCGCTCCACACAGTTACATAGAGCACAGGCTCGGACGCTCTCTCTGTACAGTCACAAAACAAAAGGTTTAAGCAAAGGACGAAGTTAGTCTGTGGTTACCAACAGTGAGGGTCATCTTGAGATATTCACCTCAGCTTCTCTAATGTAAATGAAGAACTTACAGAGGTGGGCTGGAGGAACCTGCATCTGCACCAGACTCATCCTCAACAGCAGAGGAGGGTTTGGCCTCCTTCTCAGGGGAGAAACACTGTTTTGCGGTGGCACCGTCATCAGCTATCAAAGAGTGAATGCCTTTGATTAAAATAATCATGAATAAATCCAAACATTTCATTTTTATCTGCAATACTGACAATACCCCACATAAGAAATGTCTAGTCATACCTCTTCTTTCAAACACAAAACGGATAATAACTTACCTGTTGGTTCAGAGTCATTCTCTTCGCAGTTCGATTTCTGCTCGTCCATTCCCCGCACTGACTTTGACCTCTTTGAAAGAGATCTGCCAAAAAAAATTTGAAGATTGATTCAGCACAAAAGTTCTACCAACAACACTTGCAACAGTTCAGTTAAACCTCATTTAGAAACCGACGACTAACAAGGACATTCACTTAAAATAAATAATTGAAACTTTAAGAAAGATTATATTTGTTACAGATGTGGGAAATACATGTTCATGACTTCACTCAGGAAAAAATGAACAGTTAGGGTGTACTTTAAATCCATTTTTGTACAAAACAAAAAGACGATATTGTCCTACATATATTCCAACACATAAACTTATACTTTTCCCCAAAAAAAGCATCTTCCTGTGGCACGACACAAACTCCTAAATCATCCCAAAAGTTACTTAAACGCACAAACATACATCAAGCAGTGTCGTCAATATCATAAGACTGCTACATATTCACTCTAAATCTAAGACAAGCTTAATCTGGCAATGTTTGTATTCGTGCAGTTGAGCTTTACGCAAACTCAAGAAATTAGCGCGAAGGTTACGTGCGACAGATTAAACGGAAACCGCGATAACGATTGAATTTATTTACCAAGCAATGCATAATCAAATTCAATAAATCTCCTCTCGGCAAAAATCACAGCATGTTACGATTTAAATGTTTTTTGGTAAATAAAACAATCACAAATCGGGAAACACAAAGAAAACACAACTTCCGTGTGTAGAGCTTCCGGTTGCAGCATGGCCTGTTTCGTGCATAACCTAGTCATTCGCAACATAGTTCCGCTATGAGATTCACGCCATTAAATGATGTCTACCAAACAATAAAAGGCTTAGCCGATTTAAGACAAAGAAATTATAGTAATAAATACACCTTTTGTTTGTTGTATTACATGCAATTTAATGGTCGACAGCTCAAAAGCGCAGGCAGTTTTCGATTGGTGTGGTCTATTTAGAGGATTACAATCTCGTGTATGTTTACTTATAAGATAGTGAATCTAATAGCGAGGACAAAAACAGAGAAGTCATTAGTGTTATGACACCTGGTCCGAATCACGACACAGTAAGTTGAGGGCTGATTTTAAAAATCATGTCAAAGTCTACTGTCCATGTTTTGTGAATTATAAAATAATTATTGTGCCATAAGACTTTTTTTTTTTAAACTTCCTGCCACCGAATGTTTTCACAGTTCACAATGTTTCCCTTTTCAGGCTCCCAAGGGTAACTGGAAACAGTCCCAAATTTGTAGACTGATGTCCTCCAGTGATTCGTGCACATGGGCGAACTTAGTTTGGAGGGAAATTAGTAAACAGTAGTCTCCTAAAACAATTGCTAAAACGAACATGGAAATGTTAGAAATAAAAACGTAATGATTTAGCGTCAAGAATATAAAGTAAATAATTACACGTGGTTTGGTTACACCATCCAATTGATCCAACTTTTAATCATCGGGAAACAACAAACCTAACACCGTAATAACTACGTCAAAATAGAAAAGCGTGGCTGGAAAATATGCAGCAAATATCAACCGAGCAAAAGTTCACGAGTCTGAGAGGTTAAATAAATGTTATTTACATTTTAGAAAGCAGTCGCACTATCAAAAGATAAAAATCGGACCCTTAAAGTTAGAAGGACGTAGAGGCATTAGTTTAAAGGGACTACAGTAAGAACATAAAGTAAAATAAGCACAATGCAAACTAATTACGAAAATAAATATTCATTGCATGACACTAATCAGTCTACGAACAACAACAAAAACGATAACTGCTTAGTTCAACGTATGTACGATACATCAGAACTCTTAAAACATGATTGTGAAAGTCAAATTGCATCAAAAGGCTATTAACGGCAGATGCAGCTGAGCTAATGGGCTACATTTCTTTAGCAATGTTAGGCAATGAATCCCCGTAATAATCGTACTCGAAGTCAACGACAGTTGATACTTTCTCTTCGAAAATATACTAATGTCAAGTCCGAGTGCACCTAAACACCAGTGGTGATACACATCAGAAGATGAAAATACCAAATGATTACTCTTAACAATTCAGTTGTCCGTAGTAAAAGTAATGACACGATGGGCATCTCTCTCTCAACATCCTAATTTGTGTTGGAAATTCAACTATAAATACTTTTCTCTTTCTTTGAGATGATTGTCAAAAACTTAACGTGGTATATTCCAAACCCATTCCAAAAGGTATTAGAATATAACAGTCCAGAAATTTAATCGCAAAGCAAAATTTCTCAATGTAAACACAGACTTCAAAGGGTTTATTCTATCCAGCAAATAGACATGTCCATGTAACTGGCGACACATACATACTGAGAAGCTAACAACTATCAACGGTGACGTTGCAACAAAGTATCCCCAAGACACTAGACAACAAGAAATTATCTTAGGTAGATATATATGTAATTTAAAAAGTGTGAAATTGCCTCCGTCAGTATTAAAAGGTGCGTAGAACTGGCGTTGAACAACCCAAAGTGAGCATCTAGGTGACACAGCTAGCTCCCCAGCAATTAGATTGAATCATCGGATCCAGGCAAGTTGCTAAATGCTACCGATAGCAGAGCTAACACCCGGTCTAAGGTCAGGGTTGGTGTCTTTAAGTGTGTATGTTGCAAGAAGTTCAAAAAGGTCAAAAGAGAAACAGCTCACCTCACAAAAACAATATCGTCTCCTCATGCATCAGCAAAATCCAAAGAGCCACACAACGTCCAAAAATGCTGATGGTCGCTTCATTTTATGTACCGGACTAACGCTGCGGCTAGCCGGCTGCTGAGAGAGTGGGGGAAGTGCACGTCGGCGGAAGGCAGGCTGTGCTAGCTGTTCAACCAGACGGATAACTCTGTGGTTACCTAGCTAACAGGCAAGAGGAGCGTTGTATCTTGTGGTCTTATACTGTTGGGGAACTATTAACCACAAACACAAGTCTTCGGCCTGTCCCGCACCTAGTCCCCGGGCTTCTTGCAGTTGCTCCTTGATTGTAAATTTAGCCTTAAAGCTAACATCAGCTAGCTCTTCTCTGTTCTGGAATCTCGCTCGCGAGGTCGTTAAAGCAAGTTTGCACGAAAAAGTGTTTCCGGAAATTACTGCCCTAAACTTTGTTGACACCGCGGATAAAAAATATTTTTCTGTACGTTTAAGCCGCCTGCAGATTATCATCTATCTAAATTTGCAGCTTAACTTTGCATGGGTACCCTTGTATGGGTCAACAGCATCTCTTCTTCACTTCGGTAAACTGCGTTGCGTCCCCACACGACTATTCCGCTAAGTGGCTAGCCCCTGTTAGCTTTGCTGGGTAATAAACAACTACGTCAAAAAATTCATTCGCGCTAACATACGAGGACAAATGGTGTTTTATCAGTACATAATAGCAAATGCTTTATAACTCGTTCTGGTCGGTGAACACCCTTTTTCACGCTGTTCATTGAGCACGCAGCGGTATGTTTTAATCTGCTGAACGCGGCCAGTGAAATATGGTGGATTTTAGATATTAGGTCATTAGATTTTCGGATCCAGGGAAGCCATTTTTCATTAGATTCTTATGATTGTAACACCAGAGATGCACTTAGGTGCGTAAAAAAGAGTGCTTTTGCAGTGTTTCATGACGAACGGCGATCTGATTATGTTTGTAAAGTTTATTATTTCGTGGTCCAAATTCATTCACCAAGTAAAGCATCAAACGTATGTTTCTTTTCTTAATCGTTCTGTTTTTTGTAGTTTACGCGGGGAAACTGAATCAAGCAGGGATCTCTCTCGAATTTGTAATGTTTCGAAACGTATTTGGATCAAGTTATTTATTTTTATTTTGATCCGATTCACCCACCAAAAGACTCACTGCGCTGCGTGCTGTTTATTTTGAGCAACTCTATCGTGCATTTAGGTCATTTGTGGCAACACTGTTTTGTAACTGATCTGTTTTAACTTCATCCAGAATTCACGAGAATCAATGACAATATTAGTGGAAACTTAAGATCATTATATTCCTTTAGAAACCTAGAATCACTTTCCCCAGAGGACAACTCCGCTTGAGCTGAAGTTATTTTCTTAAATGAAGAATTTGCGATTTATTTACTTATGCAATGTGTATTTTATAAAGTTAAAGGGTGATAAGGTCACAGGTGTGAGAGTAGTGGGGTGTTGGTCTTCTTTATCTATTGGCAGCCTTATCACCATGAGAAAATTACATAAGTATTGACAGGCTTTGAAGGAGAAGTTCATCAAAACCTTTAAAAAACATTACAAAAAAACACAATATAGATAGGCATTTTCAAATCTAAGGGTATCTTGCATAATCAAGCAATCCCTCAAAATGTGCAGTAAAAAGGCATTTATCTACCATTATAAAGTGTGGAGCAACCCAAAATGTATGTGGACAATGAACATGCGCAGTGAGGTCTCTGTCAGATCTTGTATGCCTGTAATTGTTATTTGGCCTGTAATAAGGTTTCCAGTTGACCCTTAGTCATGGCATCAACCTCTCTATGCTATTATTTCATGAGCCCAATTCAAGGGCCTAGGGCAGTACACGTGGTAAGGCTTTAATGCCATTGGAATGATCCTTTAAACTTACAGAAAATGAGGTTGAGCAACAGCCTGTCCTTTTTGTGATAAGGTCACACATGTAATCCATATCAGTTCCTAACATAATTTAGAGAGGAGACTTGACCGTACTTGGATGTGAGTTTATGTGAGCAGCTTTTGCTCAATGTCTCCAATGTTGAATTTATGCATATTATTACACCTAGAATTCTTCAATTTTTAGTTGCTATTGATGAGCGGAAACTAGATTGGATTGTGTTGTTAGGGAACTGAAGATTCATTTCCTCTGGAGGAAACGATTATTTTAGAAGTTCCCTTTTATTTTAAATAAAAACATGTTTTAGTTTTTATAATATATGTAGACATAGATTAAAACAAGGTTTAAAGCCATAATAATAATCAGTTAATAAAAAAATTTCCACTCTTTGCTAGGGGTAACAAACACAAGTGCAGCAAAAGACTGTATAGCTATTGTTCATCATTTTAGGGATAATACATTTAAAGAATAATCTTTTAGGTTAATTCTAAGGGCCATGCAAACATATTTTATTCAGGGTAGTCCTGCTTACATAAAGATAAAAATATATACATATCCAGCAAAATCCCTTTGAATGAGGTTATAATTGGCAGCTCCTATGAAATCTAAAAGTATATATTAAAATCTTGTTGGGATTCAGCATTAGTGTTTTTTTTAGGACATTTTATTACTGTTTCGGAAAATATCGAGTAGCACGCTTTACCCATAAATTCACATGATGTACCCCCTTCTTTCAGAGTGTTACCGTAAAGATTGTGAATTGAAGATTTGTCATTGTTGTATGAGGTCTTTACGATAAGCTTTATTAGAAAATAAAAGCACTAATGTTTGGACGTCTAAGTTTGTCCTTACCTGAATGTGAGTTGAGCATGGTTTCCTTTTGAAAATAGGTTATTACTGGTCCCACTTACAGGATTAGTTATCTCTCCATTCAGCTTTAGGAAAATTGGATTAGATTTTGGGGGGCTGAGACTGGGTCGAAGACAGCGACTGATTGGTCAATGGATGCAAATAGAGGGTGGTATTGTGACAGCAGGCGGCTCCTATTGGCCACTCAGGGAAGCCATTGCTTTCCCATCTGGCTCCTGTGTTTCAAGGATAATCCCCTGGAATACCTCCACAGATGTTTACAACCAACATAATCTAGGAGAGGGCTATGTATGTTTGGTCATCACTAAGCTGTTTCTATTTTGTACATTGTTCCTTATTAAATACCGGTTAAAAAAGGACTCAAATTCTAATATAGGACATTTATAGTGTCCTGATTTCACATTCCTAATAATAGGTTATAGATTACTTGAATGAAAAAGGTTTTCTGTCAAGTCTGTAAATAAGTAACCATGAAAGAAAAAATTAATACAGAGTAATGATAATAATGTCTCATTGTTCTCTTGTACACAATAAAAACAGCAGCCTCTGACTTCTTCTGATTTGAAGATTTGTCGTTGTTGAATGAGATTATAGAACATTTCAAATAAATGCCTTTTCAAATTAAGGTAATTCATTTGGGTCATTGACGTGACTCGTTTGATAGTTAGAGTGCAGACATAAAATTCCCATGTATGTTCTCAGTTCCTCCACAAGGAGGTGTATAACCTCATGCAACTTAAAAGATGTAAACAATAACGTCCATCTGTCCATTTTTTTGACCCGTTTAATCACATTTCGTAAATTTGACTGTTTAAAATTGAAATTCAAGGTCACACAAAGAAGAGGCCTGAGGCCTATCCCATCTGCCATTGGGTGAGAGGCTCGGTCCACCTCGGACAGGTCAGACACTGAACCTGTGACCCAAACTAGTGCATTCAATTGAAATACAATTCCCTCCCCTCCAAAGGAAAGCAACATTAAAGTTTCTGTTGAGGTTGAAAGGGTCAGTAAAAAGTTAAAGTAGTTGCACAGTGTGGGGAATAGTAAGTACGTCAGGGTTTTTCATTAACTCGCCAGCCTACTGGATTTCCTCACTCCTACATACATAAGGCTCTGTACATATGTGCACTGTTCACACAAAGAAGCCACTTTTTCCTCACATTGTGAAAGAATAAAATCAGTGGTCACGACTTGTGTAAAAAAAAAAGCAAAGTGCTGCTTCATAAAATTACACTTTTATTTGTTTTATGATATGACACCAAGTCAGTGCATACAATGCAGGCAGTGGAATTATAATAATGAGATGCAACATCTATATATTATGATTCAGAAAGTACAAAAATAAAGATTCTGTTGTTTGGGAAATTCATTCCTGTCCCCTTTAGAATAATACATATTTTTACATTTTTGACTGAAGTAACAAAAAAAGGACAGACGTACAGATTGTGATATTTATTCTTGTTACAACCCTGTTCAGGCCAGTTGCTACATTATTTGAAATCTGTTTTAGGGTTTCAGTGTCGTGTTTATCAGGACAGTAATTAAGATACAAAGAATAATGTAATAAAACAAGCAAATCCAGTGTTTTTGTAAGGAGGGTTAAGTGTAAAGTGTATAAAAGCTGGAGTGTGAGATACAGTATTTCTTGTTCGTCATTGCAGACTTTTAATAATAGAATGAGCTTGAATCTAAAAAGATACATGCAAATCGATACAGTAACCTGGCATACCAGTGGACTGTTGATAACCGCCTTTCCAAGCAGAGCCTCTCTTGAATCTCCATCCTGAGTGGTTCACTATAATTCTCTCCTCCGTCATTATTTACATATACATCTTCTCTGTCCTTCGTGGTCAAAGTGCTCAGATTTGTTGCAGTTTTAGCGCAAGCTCTTTCGCAGTCAGCGCTCGGCCCTTCTTTGGTCTCCCCCCAAAGTAGCTGGTTCAACGAGTAGAGGAGCCTCAGAGGTCCGAACGCCCAGTGAGCCAGTCTGTGGTCCTCCACCACTGCATAGCTGGAAGCCAGCACCCCGTCAACGAACAGAGTCCCAGCTTCTGTCAAGGGCGCGTACACTCCCACACTCTCCGCCGCTGACACCGAGACGATTCGAGATGGCCGGGCCTGACCCCCTGCAGTGCTGATGAGAACACAGTCTCCTGTTTTGGCCCTGCTAGCGAACTGGGCCTGGTACTGACTGCTGTCACGCCTGCACCGGGGGTCTACGAAGACCAGGTGGTGCGAGGTGAGGGCCAGCGTGTGCCCGTCCTCCGTCTCCAGGAACACAAACGTGGAGCAGCTCTCTCGGTCGCGGTGCAGAAACAGGAGGACTTGGCTGAACACCACCTGGCCTGTCTCAGACAGAGCCATGACCCAGTCGCCCGCAGACAGCGATGACAGAGTCTTCTGCCTCCCTCCAGCAACGGTCACCCGGGTCCAGCCTGGGAAACATCCGCCTCTCTCCACAGCAACAGAGTGGTCTGCAGGAAGATCAGCAGAAAAAGCCAAGATGACTAAACCTCAGATCGTGTTTCATCGCCGTCTTAAATATCTTCCTCTGGCAGACGCAGCAGTCACCAGCATAATTCATTATGAAACCTCTCGGTAAACTCACCGGCTTTTACTGAGCAGTGGATGTGATACTTGGACTCGTAGTGGACCCAGTCAAAGCCTGCCTCCACAGCCAGCTGGGCCAGGAGTCCGTACTTCTCCGTTACCCTGTCATCAGTGGTTATATCCACAGCCCGGCCCTCGTAGTGAAGGGAGCCCTGCGGGTGGTGACCATCCTCGTCCCAGGCCTCGGTCACTCGCAGGTGCACTCCGGGCCACTGGTTCATCACTGCGATAGCCAACCTGTTCAAACAGTCCTTGCATCGCTGGAACAGACGGAGGGAATGGGTTCAGGTTTCAGTTCATTTACAGGCAGGTGTAGCAGACAGCATCACGAGTGAATCGGTGTAGGCACAGCTTGTTGGATTTTTTAGTTTCTGCCATCTAACAAATAAAATATTCTGGTGATTGGAGAGTTAGAGATGGCAAAATAAGACTATGTGTCCTTTTCAAAATGACAGTTTTACAGCTGAAGAAACACTGGGTGCTGATTTCTGTTCAGATAGAACAATGTATATTACACGATAACAGGTTTATTTTTTGTTTTGACATTTATTTTTTATAGATAGAATATATTCAAATCAAGTTTTCCCTTTTAAGACTACATCTGTTTTCTGTTTCCTGAGGGAAGCTCAGTATTGGAGTCAAGTTGTGGTAAAAGTGAGAGATTCTTGTAATTATTTATTAACAGCAGCAATAGTGTAATCTACAATAACCAGTGTTTACACAAACTGATCTCAGTGCAGCACGGCACGAAAAACGATTGCAGTCCTTCAACACCGTGTTTGGCTCCCAGGTTATGATTGTCTGCTGGCATCACCGCACAATTCCTCCCTCTACTCCGCTAAAGGCCATCTCAACCTTGCTCAAACAATCAAGAGTGCAAGAACAAACCTACTGTAGCCAGTTTGGCACATTCTTTGGCCTTTTCAACAGGGTGACAGAATAATCAAGGCCATTCTCTGCCTTTCGAGATTGTTCCAGGCTTCAGTTACTCACTTTCACCCCTGAGACATTTGATCAAATATGTGCACAGTGACTCTTAACACCCCCGTGGGCCATAATGTTACAGACTGTGTCAGCATTGTCGCAAAATAGAAAGGCTGGAAAAAAATAGATGACATCAGCATCTTAGGTGATACACTCATTATCATTTTGTTTTATGCGCAGTCATGTGGGACTTGTGATGTAGCAGACATTGTAGCCCTCAATGAACTGTCTAAAAACTATCTTACATTTCTGGAAACCAAAAGAGCCTGGCCGAGAGGGAAGGATGCATGGAAAGATGTGAGTTTTAAGTGGAGTTTGGTGAGAAGAAAGCTGCGTAGAGGAGGGCTGAGGTTGAGACGAGAGAGGAGGCCAGAGGGGAAGAATGTATGGGCACAGACATGGGAATGTGACAGCAAGAGTGAGAAAGCATGAGGAACAGAAAGCAAACTGGGTACATTTCTCTCGCAATGCCATTGAAGAGAGGCGTTTCATTGTCACAACTACAATAGTCGCTTTTCCGACGGTGCCATTACTTCAGCAGGCGGGAATTTTGTATAGGCGACCCTTCTCAGTCTCCAAATGATGCACAAAGGGTGTCTTTCACATCTGGGCAAAAAAGGAGGCCCATGCACACATAACCACGGTCAAATTGGGTATCAGAAGGGCACAAAACATACAACCACAGATTTCAATCACCTACAATCACTCTGGTAGAGGAAGGAACACAGATTTATATCCTGAACAATCACACAGAGCATCCACAGCAGAATCATATCTGGGTGTCCACGTATGCTGAAGAGCACCACAACTGATTCCTTCTGCTGGTTCCCAGCCATCAAATTCTCTGGGACGTAGGTCTTTCCACAGTGTTATTCATTAACAGACCGATCCCCAGGAAATAAACCGATCTTAAACTTGAGTATGTCCTCATGGACGCACACAGAGAGTCTGTCAAAGGAATATTTTTTTATTCCAAATAACAAAGACTTCTGTTAAAGATTAAAAGGAAGTGTTCCTGTGGGTGAACTCAGTCTCTCAAGAGGTAGTGTTGAATTACATCCTGATGCTCTTACCTCTAAAAAATAAAATTTGGTTTAAACTTACACGGTCTGTGTTGAACATTTGTTTGTCCCCAGCAAAGGCAAAAAGACTCAGAGTTCAGCAAACAGTCAATGATATCATTTGTTTTTATATCACCATCACATGCCGAAAAGGAGCTACACGAATCTAGTCCAATCAAACTTTATTTGAATGGCACCTTTCACACAAAGGCAGCACAAAGTGCTATGCATAATAAAACCACCACCCACCCCACAAAACTCCGCTCTCTGTGCCACTACAGTCAGCTCCACTCTGTGAAGGGATTTGATGGATCACACATGTGGGGTGGGGGGGTCCATTCAGAGCATCCTTCAGTTTGTTTGCACTGTTTCTCCAGTTACTGGGTATCACTAGAGTTAATGGAAATGAGTGGTCCGCTCAGTTTGTCGGCCGCGTACACGTCTCACCTTAGTCATGAAGCGATCAGCGTTCGTGTTCTCCTCATCCTTGAAAACAATGTCCGGGTTGTAGTTGCACACCAGCTCGTTGAAGCGCTCAGAGCTGCGTGTGATCTTGCCCTCTGCTCTCCCGCTGGCCCCCAGGTTGTTCTCTGAGAAGTTGGGGAAAAACTGCTTGTAGTGCATGGCTGTGAGCTTCCTGGGTCTGGAGCGCATGCCGTATCCGGGACCGGGCCCGCATCCCTGGACCAGCCATATGCAGGTCCACACAGCCAGCAGGCCCAGCTGTGCCAGGCGGGCCCACCAGAACCGCCTCATTGGGGAGAGAGTTGGAGCCCCCAGGACTCAGTGGCTCGCCGTGCCTGCACTGACAGCCCTGTTCAAGGTGTGTGATAGCAACTGAATGACAGTCAGATCTTGGTCCATTCCAAATCATGGATTGCTGGTGCTGGTATTTTCAAATCACTGAGTTGGGGCATGTAAGGAGTTCTTGTTAATGCGTTCACTCATGATCAAAAAGCTCCACACTTTCTAAATAAATGTCCTTTTTTTTTGCGTGGTAGTTATTATAATGATATAATGGAGCTCAACAAGTGATCTGATGTTGCTGTTGGTTTTTTCTCTGAAGTTTGGCATCAATTCGTCAATACATGGCAGGTGTCCAGATATTTCGGAGCAGAAGGTTTCACCAGCTCTGGCGAGAACTCGGAGTCATCTTCTCACGTCTTCCAGTTGTTCCTGTCTTGGCGCAGGTGTTGTGGCGCTTTATCCTCACTTACCGAATCTCTTTCCACGCAGTCCCTCTCCAGAAGGCACACCGTGACGCACGCGAAGAGCCTGATAGCTCTCTGACTTGGACTTGGTGGGATTCCTAATAACGCTCCGGCGCTGCTCCCATCCCCTTTAGTACATCCACATATATCTCCCTCTCTAAGCTGTTCTCTCTCCTCCTCTCCTTCGTCCACCGCCTCGCGTTGCGTTTCGGCGCTCCTGGCCACCTTGCGCCAGCCATTGGGTCTTATTAGCGTCCGGACAAGATTGCCCTCCCTTCCTTTGCGCGCTCCCACCGCCACAGCACACGCCTCCAATTCAGCCATACAAAGAACATATGATGTTAACACAATGACCTCAACCCCGTCCAGATTTCAGATTGTTTGAGAAACTTGAATGTCTTCACAGTCAGAGTCAACGGCTCGCTGTCAGCAGTTTCATTTCTGTGAAAAGTCGGAGTTTGACAGCTTTAAAAAAAAGCGCACCACGTTCGCGTCATGTAATCCACAATAAACTAAATTGCCCTCGCTTTTGTTTGCTCATCCCACCCATCACACTCTCACTCTGCGTGTGTTATTAATAGGCAAAGTTGAAGGTTAGAACCTTAGAGGGAGCACAAGCGTCCAGCCTTGACTTCCAGAGCTGCCTTCCTGTGTTTGGGGAGCCAGTCTGACCCCCCTCAGATACCCAGTCACCCCCAAGACCTCTTCGCTGGAAACACCCCTTGGATAAATTGTCAAGTTATTATTTTTATCCATCTCAGAACAATAGCTGGGAGACTCTTAAAGTGTGTCAGATAATGCCATAGACAGAGCAAAAAAAAGAGAGTTATCTTTGTGTTTTTCACTGCTATGACATCTGTAATCACAAAGGGAAGCATAAATGAATGGTAAATCACAGGTCAAAGGGTGTCAGCGTGTTATCTGGAGCTTCCTGGAACACATGATGAGGACTCCTTTACAGTTTCTAAAGGCAGATTTGCCCCTTGAGCTCTGCCATAATATGCAGTTTTGTTCATCCTGATGGTTTAGTGTAAGGGAAGACAAGGTTTAAATATCTTATTAAAAAGTAAAGAGCCAATATGAACTGAAGCTTTTTTTTTAAACCACTGCAAAAAGTTCAGGGTTTGTTGTAGTAAACCATAGCTGCCCCTTTTCTTTTGCACGGGTCACTGAGCTCTGTGCAGACATGGAAAGGCATCCTTGTTGGGGAAGTTTCCAGATGATCCCAGGATGTTGTGGGGAGGGGTGGCAAGGCGAAGCCGCATCTTCCTGCCCTTATGGTAAACACGGAGGAAGGCTCAAGTCTGGCCCAAGCAGCACAGATGAGAGATATCAGCTTTCATAACAAATGTAAGGAATGACTCAATCAAAAAAAAGCAACAAACACTTTCATATCTACAATTACCCACACCGATGTTTCTCTTCAAAGCTGAACGCAAAAAAACGATTTCCATCAGGCATGAAAGGGAAAGGAAGGAAGCAAAGATCTGTGGGCTGGAGTTGGAAATAAAGTCATTATTATTAGTTTTTATTTTGGTTCCCCCATCCTACTGCCTCCCCCTGCCTCTTTTTGGCTCTTAACATTTTACTCCCCATTTCAGGATGGGAGTACATGGCCGGGTGAATGGCTTAGTTTCCTGCTCAGCCGCAGCACTGAAAACGAGATCTTTCCTGCTTGGGTTAGCCTGCGCCGCTTTGTTCTTTCCAAATGCTTTCACCTGAGCTGGTAGTCAGACAGGGAGACATATGGACACCCCCAACACAAGCAGGGGTATCATCAACAGCTTAAAGAGACACTTCTAACACATTTACTTTTACAAAGCCCGAAAACTGAGGAGATTTTCCATAATGCAACAAAACCTTCATTCTGTATTTTGTTAAACCTCTTCTCAGCACTTGCTTAACATGTGCAAAGGGTAGAGGAATATTTTCCACACTGCTAAATCATTTTTCAATTTAATGATATTCCAAAAAGCATTTCTGCATCAAAAACAGTATTCACTGCAATTTTCCTGGAAGAAGATGCCAGGTCTTGTTATCTGTACATGTTTTTGCATCGCAGCATTTTGTGGTTACTGTTGCCTGTCTCTTCATACGCCATGCATTTTCCACAAGAGGTCCAGGCCAAGGCAGGCCAGTTAAGCACATACAGTGCGGAGTCACAATGTTTTAATGCTCGGCATGAACTCTGGAATTGCCTAAAATGACCAAAGACTGTGTGAGTAGGTTCACCTTGGACTTTTATACCACTGCATATGCTGTTTTCTGCCCCTTTCATTCACAAGAGCCTGGTTAGTCCTTCTAATTTTTGGTAAACAGAACTTAACTTCTGTTTTTTTCCCTCCAAAAGCCTAATGTAACAAATACTTGTTTCTACAGTATTTCTGAGTTTGCACAGAGCTGACATGCCTTCTTCTGTTGTTCAGTTGGGTTTTAGGTTCCATTTCTGGATGAACCAGCAGATTGTTCTGACAGAAAGTGGTTATGCTTAGATTGTTCACGGTATCATAAAGGGCCTATTGTTTTTTAAACTGTACATATTGAATATTAAACCCCTTTTGAAATTTGACGTTCTTTGATTATTTAAAACTCAAACAATTCTCTAACTGAGTTTAACACATAGATGAGGAACATGATCCTCTCTTGCACAGAAGACTAAAGCTTTAATGGATACTGCTTTAATACCCAATTTTGACACCCATATTGTACCGTCTTTATCATTATTTCATAGCTTAGCTTTAAGACTTGTGATAGATTTATTTAAATTTTCCAAACATGATGGAACTGGTTTGTTTAAACTCCTTCCTTTATATCGGAATCCCAAACTTTACTGGAAATCTTCTTTTGTGATTTGTTCCACTTAAGTTTTCGCTGGCTTTGACATTTCAAGGGTTTATCTCGTCTCTGAGAGCTGAATTGACACTCTGCAGGATCCACTTCCTCTGATGGAGGCCATTATAAGGGTGGTAGTGAAAAGTCAAGGAACTATCATTACCCACCTCCTTTCCTCAAGTCTCTCACTCACACACCCATCCTTACTGTAAGCTCTGAGCTGCAACATACACTCTTCTGTCTCTCACTGTGTTATCAGCGCAGGAAGAAGCAGGGTGGTGCACTCAGATGTGGCTGCACACGTCGGATGATTCTTAGATTCTATATTTCTAAATGACCGTTCACCATATTTTCCTGTGGAAAATTTGGTTCGACGTAAAACGTGTACTCAAAAATGATTCCTTCCATGATTATAATTACCTTGCTAAGCTTTTAACAGCCAGAGAAATAGAGCTTAAGTTGGGACGATACCGCATTGAGGTGGACAATGGAATGAGAGGGTTGGAACTTCCTGGCTGCAGACAAACAGGTCAAAGGTCAAATAGGATATACCTGGCTGAGAGGACCCCACCCAAAAAAAACCTCCCGCCATTGGACAGATCACAGTACTGTATGTTTAACGTGTTCCGCGTCGCACAGAAACCTTACGTTATTGCTTCCACCGACTCTCCGACACACCAGGGTGACCGGACGAAACAAAGGCCTGTGCTGGTCAACTGTGTGAAGCAAGTGTGCCGCGAGTGTGCACACAGGATGGCAGGCAGCTATGGCAAACGGACAGTGTGGCCCATTATCAGTTGATTAGCGGGCAAGTCTCGCCTTTTCCTGAGTGATTCTGTATTTGCAAAGTGTAGAAAAGAGGGAATAACAGCCCTTAATGCACTTTGGCACAAACTTCAAACGTATGACTGTCAGGAAAGCTAATCTGTGTCTTTTTCCCCCCTTCATTCTTATGTTTTGACAATAAAGATAGCCTATCTCGTCCCATTACAAGCTGCCAGCTTCCCGCCTTGTCCCCGATATGCCAGACTTTTAGACCTATGGAGTGTGTTAACCAAAGAGACCACTGGACACTGAACTACGTTTGACCTTTGTGGTGCAGGGAAGACTGTGGCGCTAGTGTTTTATTAGTAAATCTAAAGTTAACAACTGATAACAACTAATATGCCATAACGAAGGAGACTATTTTACTGGTTAAAAGTTCTCTGAAGTAACTAAGACACCATTTGTCAATAATGTGGACTATTACTCTGAGCACAGCACGGTATCCATACAGAGAGAGAATGAACAGTTTTCAATGTATTTACAGATTGAAGATGACTTATTTTTGTGCTAGAGAATTAGCAGAACAAAAGACATCTTAACTCAGCATCATTACCCAGTATCAAAGCGTACTAAATATGTAGTAACAAACTGCAATTCATGTGCTGAAACCTGAACCAAAGCATGATAAGTATAATTTGGGGTTTACAGTAACATCACACTTAAAAGCTCTTCTTTTTCCCTGTTCTGATTACGCATAAATGTTTCTCTGCCATACGCACCTTGTATCTGGTGTATGTGTCACTTCCTGAAAGGGTAAGCAGCCCCCAGATGTGCCGCTAATGTTACAGCGACATTCGAGTTCATTTCCTTTCAGTGAAAGGAAGCGCAGTGCAAAACAAAAAACTAAACCAAATATGCTTAATTAAGACATCTAAGGAAACTAAATGAGAAATGAAAACAAAAATCAGGAGGGAGAAATTAATCAGAGCTGAGATTTTTTTTTAAACCCACAAAAAGAAACAGACTTGTGAAGAAGAAAAAAGAGGAGAGGAAATGAACAATGGGCAAGGAAGAGGAATAAGAAGAAAGGAGGCAGGGGGTGGGCACGTCAGGGAATGAATGTCCCTTCTCCTGATTTGCAGAGTTTTTATCTGGCATTTGCATCGAAGCGGGGAAAGCGTGGGCCACGGCTGTAGTGGCGTCGTGGGTGGACGTTGCTGACAGATGGGCCAAAATATGGCTTTCTTCTGCTGCTGATTAAAGAAGTGCAACAAAAGGGTGGAGGGACGTAGAGGACAGATGACCTTACCATGCACACACCAACCACAAGGCACAGCGGATTGTTCAGTGTTGCTACATTTCTTAAAATGTAACAGCATCAAAGATATCCCTTACAGTAAAAGAAACCTTGATGTGTACCCAAAAAGGACACAAAGAAGTTAAAAAGTTGAACATTTTTTATTGCTTCCTGTTCATAACACTGTGAAACAATGCTGATTAAAATAGAACATTTTTAAGAAAACATGAAACATCAGAACAGTTTAAAAAGTAAACTCGGACCTTTCTTTTTTCTTTTTTTAAAAAAAGCTTTCCACATCTTTAAATATTCTTTTCTCAAATATGAACTCAAGTGTTGCATAAGTATTCAATTGAAAATATGAAACAAATATCCCAAAATGCCCTTATACAAAACACACACACGCACATTCCAACAATACAAACTATTTTCAAAGTAAAGGAAAAAAAAAAAAAGAGTAAACTCAGTGTTCTGTGTATAACGCATCTAAGTGGAAACCGAGACCCTGTCAACACATTGTATAAGATGAATTTAATAAACACTGTCCCCTGCTGGTCAAACCAACAAAATAAAAGAAATCTGCTGATACAGCAGCAACGAAAAATGGTGAAACAAGATCACCAAAACACTGTGGCATAGTGTCATAATGCGATTACCAAAAGCAGACAAGATTTGGTCAAGACTCCACGGCCTGACAATCACAGTTATGAATCAATAAAAAAAAAATCTAAAAGCCGTTCAAAGCACTCTTTCTGATGTTGAACAATCAAGATGGAGGAAACCTTAGAAACCTAACAGAATGAGAAACATTCAGAAATCTCTTTTGGTAAAGTTACAAAGTGTGCTTTTACATAAGATATATTGCACTTGCCCACAGACATTTGTAATGAATCACAGTTTGATTGCAAAAAAAAGAAAAGAAAAAAGTTCCTCCTAATGAGTGTCACATCGCATTCATATGTCACATGTATTGTACAAGACAAATAATAAAGCTTTCACTTTAGTCAATTATAGAATTGTCATCACACTTAGTAGGTTTGCTGTCATCAAAAACCCTGCTTTATCATTAATTACCTCAGAAAATGCTCTTATTCTTCCAGTAAACCAGGCTGGAACAGGAGCTTCCCCGCCTGAAAATGAATCGTTTGTTCCCTATGTAACCTCCAGTTCCACACAAGATACAGGACTGCTTCCCATTTGTTTACACCTGTGAACTAATGTGGGCCTTGTGCAGAATGGGCCACCAAACACACAGAGGCAGATAAATTAGTGGTAGACTTAGAGGAAAGTGTATAGAACCCACAAAGAGTACTCTGTCAACCTGAAAAAGGAAGAGGAAATTATGTCAGAGCTTATGTGTAATATTTCAAAATAACTCTGACTTTACTCTGACAAGTAAAACGGCTGTTAAGAGAATCATAAGGCAACAGATCAGAGGGGGTTGCTGTGCTGTTCACCGTGGCAGCAGCGCCAGAATGGCTTATATCCCTTTTCCCCTTGTTCCAGTTAAACTCACGATGACTCAAGTGTTCACTTGTATCAGTACTTGCAGTCAAATACCAGAACACACTTCTGCCCCGATACACAGGTGACCGGAAAAAAAACAGCACCGGACCTCGCTCCAACAGAGACTTGTCGCCTTCACCCGTCTCTTGGCTCACACAGATCAGGTCTGTGCGCCAACCAGCTCCAAGACTGAACGGCCAACGCCTTCCAACAGGTGCACATCTGAGAGGGCTCAGTTTGTAAGGGTTCAGGAAGGCAATGATGAAGAGGAGACAGGTCACTGGATTTTAGAGAGTCCACTGGCTAGAAGCAGTCTGAAGGGGACGGTGGACCGTGAGACGGTTATAGGCAGCCGGTGAAGTCCTGCAAGAAAAGATCAAACAAGCACTGACATTAACACCTTTCATGATGAGACACTGGGGCAGTGAATTCGCAAAAGTAGGGAGAATGCTGATTTATATGGACAGAAAGCCTGTAAATCACTGCAAAGAGTTGGGAGGCAATAGGAAAGTGCAGGAGAGCTGCCATGGTGCAGAGATGCTATCTGTACTGTGAGGAAGGGGATTGTGTGCATTTGTGCGCTTGGCGTGCCCATACTCCAAGCGCTTGTTTGTGTTGGGTGGAGGTTAAGTGGGTGTGTGTGCCGTGAGGGGTCTAGGGCGGTGTGCCTGAAGGTCCCCAAGGAGACCCGACTCTCCTCTTGTCCCTTTACAATTTCCTGAAAGAATTGTATTCTTTCTATCTGAGGAAGAGAGACCAGCCCATCGGGAAATGAGGCCAAAGGTGGGGGAACTTCTGACATAGCTATCAAAGTGCAATGAATTTCAGCAGAGCAGAGTTCCAAAGACAGCACAAAATATGTCCATAACAATCCTGTCAACTCTCAAAGGCAAAATGGAAGTGGACTGACCAAAGGCACGGATGAGCTCCCTCTGTACGGCCCAGGTGACTGTTTTTATCAGGGAGGCAGAGGTGAGACCGGCAAACAGCATGTTATAGAGGAAGACGATGTAGAAGTTCCCGAGCCAGTTGTACCGGCCAAAGTCTCCCAGTAAGTCAAAGCTGGTGATGCCTGGGAAAACGGAGCAGAAGAGCAGGAAAATGTAGAACTGAATGAGCAGGGCTGCAGCTAAGGGCAAAGCATTCATGACACAAATATGCCCTCCAGTGGTCACTAATAAAACTATGTCGATCATATTGCAGTACTTCAAATTTCACTTCAACTCATAACGTAAAAAATACTTTGTACTATGGTCTCAGCTCTATGCTTACAGTGAATTACTGCCGGTCTGTAAATAGGATTAGAAATTGAGGTGGGGCTAGCTGGTTATTTTAAAATGCCGTCTCAAAATAAACCTTTAATTTTTTTTAAGCTTGTTAGTCTTGAATTGAGTAAAGTAAGATCACCGGATATTCGATAGAAACTACTTTGTAAATGGAGCTGGCACATGGCCATGGTACTAAATAAATTCTCCGAGTCATGTAGGGCATACCCTTACCAAGTGTGCGTGAAAAGACTGGCAGTGCGGAGCTCAGGATTAGCAGTGAAACACAGTTTGCGATAATCTGAAAGAGAAGCACAAAGAAGCAGGTTCAGTTATATGTTATTGACTTTTTTTTTATTTTTATAAAAAGCCAATGGTTTTATGGTCTACAGCAAAAGAAGTGAGCTATGCAGAGCAGCAATAGGCTTTAAATATAATCTGAGTGATTGAATTTCAATTGAAGAGGTTTAAAAATGTAATAAATGTTATTGGGAAACCTAGCCACTTTGAGAGAAACATAACACATGGAGAAATACCTGTGTCAGGTTGGTGTCTTTTGCACGAGGCAGGAGGCTGGAGAAGAGAGGAGAACTATAGAAGCCCACCACTGAGGACACCATTAGATAGCTGAAATGTGTTTTGAGGACAACAACAGAGGGTGGAAGAACACAGGGACTTTATAATGACTTTATGCCATGCAATTTGGTGGATAGATGGGATGTTTAGGGGAAGGCCATAAGTGTGAGCATTTGAATCACATCCTTGAATAATGAAAGTTGGGGCACTAGCTTTGCTGGGGGACTGCATTCTGAGTTAGTTGCCGACATAAAAGGATACAGGATGAGGACGACCTGAACTGCAGCACCCAGTGAGCCAAACATGGAGAAGGAGGCCATCCCCAGGTGAGGATCCTGCAACACAAAAACAACCCTCAGGCCTGTGCCCCGGTGGCCGCGTAAATGTCTTCCAAACAGAACCCTCACCTCCATTCCTCTGGGCATCGCCGTCTCATCCAGCAGCAGCTCCAATACATTAAAACAGACCAGCAATACACACATCACCTGAGGACAAGATTACAATCACGCGATAAGCCAGGTTACAGCATGAAAGGGCACAGCAGGACTGGTTAATGCAGTCCAAATTCTACTTACAGTCAGCGCGAGAAGCACAAGCATTGCCAGAGGGTAGCCCAGGTTTCGCTGCCATGGGGACGCTTTCCTACGCATCTCTGTCAGGGAGACGCAAAACAACACAGTGACGCTGTTAACCACTGGACAGGGAAAAGAGCCCTGTGGGCAGCGGCTTGCACATCAATCCTACCCAGAGCCACACGCTTGCTCCGGACCGTTTGGTACTCCTTTCTCATGGCCTCCAGGTTCAGCTTGACCCAGCATGACGTGCTGCCGCCTACAATCAGACACACCGGAGGCAAAAAGTCACTCGCTTTAAAATGAGCCAACAGTTAATGGGCGAGAAGAGTGATCATGATAACAAGCTTACTTTTGAGTTTTCTGGAGAGCGAGTCTTCCTCAAATATGGTGCAGCTCAGTGTGTCCTCAACGTCTTCCAGCAGCTACACAGGACACCAGCAATAAGAGAGAAAAAAAATGACAATGGCTTATAATAGGGCTATTAATATTCAGTTCAAAAGTTGTCTCATATTTTGTTTTCCCTATTGTAGAAATAGTGCAGAATTTATACAATTTAAAAGACTTAATAGACCAGTTGCCTGCTAAACTTTTGAAAGGTTTTTCTTAGGATTTTTAGAAGCCATTTTTGCCCAGCCCTGTACACAGTATTCATCCACACTTTGTAGTGATTTCACAAGAAAAGCGTGACAACAGAGTTATAGTGAGAACATGTAATATTGGTTTTAAATATCCTTTTCCTGTTACATTTTCCCTGCCAAGCAGTTGTTTTCTTTTTTTATTAATTCTACACATCCAAACGGTCTGTGACTCACCCGCGGTTTGACAAGCAGGCTGCCTGTAACGCTGAACATTCGAGACAACCCAAAGGGGGTGCACACTGTGGAGAATAAAACAAGTGAGTTGACCTGCGAGAGTCATGCAAGACAGAACAAACGGCTCTGGTAAATGTGATGGAGATATACTAACACAAGAGCAGCAGCACTCCACACAGAGAGATGCCCGAGTACAGGTAGGGAAGGTAATACTCCCACAGGTCTGCAATTCAAACACAAGGTACAGAAATGAAAAAACAAACTAAATAAAAATTTTCCTCGCTACTTGACAAGTCCAGAAGGATTTATGAAACTAATGAAAGTGACTCACCATAGAGGCTCTTTCGTGCAATGTTGTCATGGAGGAGGGCTGACGCCACCCACACAATGCCCAGCACCAGCAGAGCCAGCAGCAACAGCAGCACCACGGCTTCGTACACTCGAGCCATCACTCCCTACAAAGCCCCAAAAGCAGTTCGGTCGTCAGCTCAAATACAGTCGTTGTCCTGTTCTTATGTTTTCATTTAACTCATTTCAAGTCTGGATTCCGTATCATTAAGACAATGTAAAAAGCCGGTACCTTTTTGGACCCCGCGAACCCCTCGGACTCAGTGAAGAAGTATGCAAAAGGCATGAGGAAGACCAGGGACAAATTGGAGAAAAGAAAAACTAGGTTCCACAAGCCTGAAAAGAGAGGACGATTTGTTTTTAAATTGTTGTTTTTTTTTCAGGGCAAACATCCATTTGTGGACGAGTTTTGGCAGTACCACCATCAACCACCATGAGGCACAACCCTGCCGAACAGAGCACAGGGCTACTCACAGGGGCTGACAGACAAGAATGTACAACAATCAGAAAGGAATTCAAAAAATGCAAAAATGGACATTAAAAAAATGGCTCCCTACGTAAAATACCACGAAACAACTCACTGAGATCAGGGCCTCACAAAATATAAGTTGTCATGTAAGGAAAGCTGAAAAGTTTGTCTGAGTAGCAGTGGATTCCACAGATGGACTCATTTTTAAAGCATAGCTTTTCACACTCCCAAGGTCAAATCTATTCAATCCATAATAATTATCTGTTTGGACACAGGCCCGAGTCCTATTGATTTCCAGCTCGTAACCCAAGTAGTGTTCCTCTGGGCTGTCAGGTCTTTTTAAACAACAGTTGTTACTCTAGACAGCACGCTGTTGTTGCTTAGTGAAAACAGTATGATATACCATGTATGAGAGATCCGTTGAGCCACTGCATGTAGTAGCTCTGCGGGAAGGTGAGCAGCACCTCATTGGAGAGAATGGAGATGGGAAGAAGCAGCACAGCACACACTGCGACGGACAGGGTGAAGGTGCACAACCACAGCCTGGGAGACAGAAAAAAAAGACGGCGGATGAGGAAAGTCGCACGGGTGATGGTGTTGAGCCTTAGCCTTACGAATCAGCCAAGGTGAAACGCTGACACAGCCGGAACAAACAGTGCCAGCGCGAAGGAGCAAAGTGCAAAGTCCCACTGAGGTGAGACAACTCCATCTAAACGTCATGTAAAAACAAGCAGACACACACACAAACAGGGCAATGCATCTACTCCCAAATGATCCCTGCAAAAACGTCACCGTGACACTCTGGGGGAGAAGGCCGTTACATTCTGTTGAGTTGTTAATCACAGCTTCTCACTTACGCAATTTTATTGACGGTGGCGTCTTCAATGTCATCTGCAAGAAACGAGAAAAACAAGTCAGTTACTTTTTATTACAGAACTTAAACCATGTCGTTTTCACATAGGTGTAATGCGGCTTTTCTTTTGGAAGGTTCAAGAGTTTGATGTGCTGATGTTTAAAGATGAGATGTGAGGAAATAAGTCAAATTTGCCCAGGGCACAATGTGATGCAAAGGAGAGAGCTGGACTGCGGGAGGAGACAGTCTTTATGAGGCTGAAGGAAGTAAACATCTCCCAGGGCTCAGAGAGGGGCGTGAGGAAGGGACAGCCACGTTTGGAACATTTTGTTCATGCTACACTCTCCAGCAAAACCAAACAAAATGTAGGAGGCTGCACAGAGAACTTTTAGAACTCAAATACCACAAATCCCAAAAAAGAGCTTGTGCCATTCAGTATGCTAAACATTTAAAACTAACAAACAAATATCAAGTGGATGAATTGCTACTTTTGTTATCATCCATTACAAGTAGTATAGTCTAAGGAGTGACAAGCGCTGTTCGGTGACTCAAGAGTCACAAACAACTCCTTACAGCTGAATTGCACAACTGGCCGCAGGGCTCAACGGAGTTTCTGCTGTGGAAGCACATACTTACATGGAGGTGAGCTAATACAGATCATGTTTCTGGCATAACCGCCCCCCTCCAAAAAAATAAAAGTCTACATCTGCTTCAAATAGAATTAAATGGACAACATTCAGAACTTTCAATAATTCTTGGTTTTAATGATTGAAACCAATGGTCGCTTGCATTAAAATAGAAGACAACAGCTCAGGCTGCTCCGTTATTAAAGGATGCAAAGCTAACCTAGAGGAGCTAAAAGATTAAAAATAAAATATGTCATCTCATTCCTACTTCAAAATGGAGCTGACCAGCAATCTTTTTTTTTGGACATTGCTCCTGTTCAAATTAAAACTATTGAGCATCATAATCTTAGATGTGTTTATGTGCTGAATGCTCCTTTTCAAGGAAGCTCCGAGCTCCATCCAGCTTTAATTCAAGACTTTTCACCACCTTGATCCACAGTCACCCTGCAGAATAAAGGGGTTAAGGCCACAGTCAACATGTGCTGTATACTTCATGCCGGCTGAGATCTAGAGCCTATGACTGAAAAATGCCTTCCAGCTAATGAATGCTGAATACAGAAAACAGAAAAAAAAAGGAATAAAAAGAACAGGGAGTATCTGAACGTGAACGGCTTGCTTGAAAACTGTTGCCAACTTGCTTGGTGGAAAGAAATTCCAAAACACCAACGTAATCAGTGTGCTTCTTAATGTTGCTGGGCTCCCTGAAGGCGCTCCTCAGAGAGCCTTCTATCAACAGCTTGCTAACAGGCCACTCTTTGTGCCCGCCATCGATCCGCAGACCTCCCCACTCACCTGTGACAAACTCTGCAGCCTTCTTGAAGTGGGTAAGGATGAGGTAGCACACCATGTAAAGGCATGTGAAGAGGAGTACACAGATCTGAAAAACACAAACACAGGAGTTTTGGATGAGTACGACTGCAAATATAGCATTGCTCTAGCTCAGGCCCCTTCAGCATAAAGAGCGCATAAGACTGTTGACGATCTGTTCAGTCACGCTGCCAACGCACAACACATTTTTCCAGTTTGGCCTCGCATCTTCGATTCAGGGTGTGCTGACAGATCTTTAAAGTGGGGTGGATATGCAGCAGGAACCAGAACAAGTTTCGGAGTTTCAAAAGCTACAAAAAAACAAAAACAAAAAAATCTTATTTAGCCCCAGGCGATGAGACAGATGGAGTCCAAAGATTACAAGAGAGTCTAACAAAGAGAATGGGGTCATATCGTTAAAAAAAAAAAAAAAAGTGGATTATGGGGAGTCAAGGAGAGAGGGTATAATACCAATGAGTACCCACCCCTAGACAATGACCTGGAAAGATCAAATGCTGTCATTATGATTTAAATCTGGGTCTAATGAATATTCAGCCAACATTCTGTTGTCTGGTGATGCATTCAGACTCGACTTTGACAACAATGTAAACTTCATGCAAGTGGGGAAAACAACCATTAAGTTTTGACAGGTAATATTTGACACATTCCACAGATAAACAGCAAACCCGTCCGTCTTGCAAACACCTACCTGCATCACACACCACTCAAACACACACTTACACGGCCTCGGCAGCTAGCCTGAGTTCTTTATAATCACTCTTGTTGACAAAATGTAAGACAATTAGAAGTAATATTAGTTCAAAGCATATGATCACGTCCTTTAAAAGCAAATAAAGCCCAGTCAGTCATTCTGATTCTGTCATAGAATCCAACCTTTTGTAATAAGCTTAATGTCAGTCTGTTTCTATTTAGCTGCATAAAGCTGGAATATGACGATTAAATGCATATTGACTCCTAGCAGCCGTTATTGAAACTGCGAAAAAACAGTTCTGTATGGGAGCTCAAGGGAGGCCCGAGTGCCAGCAGGAAGCGGGTCCCTGAGTTAACAACAGAGACAAACAAAGACATTGCCTCTGGAGAAAAAGGGACACGTTTCAAACTTAAGCAGATCACATTTCCAGTAACAGAGTACCTTTGACTATCCACCAAGAATTCCAAACATTGGATTGAAAATTAAATGAAGAGGCACGCCCTGTGTGGTGGTCAGAACTGGGCTTTTGCTTCATGGTCCTGTTGTTCTATGAGCAGAATATGCCTGACAGTGGCTTTGAAAGCACTGAAATTGAAAACAAATTCTAAACGAATATTAACATTCATCCAAAATAAGAAACTTAGGGACTAAACAGTTGAAACATGCAGCATTTTACAGCACTGGCTGGAATGACGAATAGCAACAAACAAGCTGCATCATGTCAACAACAAAGGGCTGTATACAACGGCTAATCAGCTCAGCAAAAATCGTTCAATAAAGCAACGTAGTTTGCCAAGAGGCTGCAGCTAATCCAACAATAGGAAAAGCAGGGAGCACAAGATGGGGTGGAAATATGTGGAGGGGCAGAATAACACCTTTTAATTCACTTCAGCAACAACATGTGCTTCTTGTGATGGTGATCAAGCGCTTGCAGCGTGGAACAGGCCACTGCGAGGGGGGTTTAAAGGTTTTCAGCTGGCAAGGCGACGTCTGTGCTGAATGCAAAGTCCCAGGCTGGTAGCCTCCTGGCATCAAAACATTTTGGAAAAGCACAAAGCCCTTTGAGCAGAGGTAACATGGTCTATTATACAGCTGGTAATAACAGACCAGCTCAGAATAGGTTGCTTCAAGTAAGTAGAACCACCATATCTGCTCTCTCTGCAGATATATGATTTTGGGGAGCTTTTACTCCTCTCACCTGAGAAAATAATAGTTACAGAGACTATATTTCTGTAACAGGATCTCATACAATCTTCTTTTAAACAATCTGAACTTATAGGAATGTTACATTCACACGTTTCTTAAGGTGGCTGGATGTCTCACTGATGCTGGGTGTCCCATCTCTCCACTGTGAGATCTTAATGTGACCTGTTGTTCTGCTCAGCATTGATCCAGCAGGTCTATGGGTGTGTGCTCCTCAGTCTACAGTTTAAAATGCCTCACATACACAAATCTTTGATGTAAATCATGCCCGCATTTGCCAGATACTGTCAGCTATAACAAATCAACAGCAGTGAAGACAGATGTTTGGCAGTTAGCACGATTTCCCACAGGTTTTTGTTTTGTTTTTTTTGGCTGGGACCCAAAAATGACGTGTCAGGCCATTTCAGAAATTTGAATCAGACTCAAGTTTAATACTAAAAATGAGAAACTTTGCATCAATATTTTGGCTTTTTCTGACTGTGAAAATGTTTGAACGCTATAATTTCCTGTGCTACTAAAACATATTTCACAATCAAATAAATACCATTGTTATCATTAAGCAATCAATACTGTTTGTGGAGGAGTGAGCAATCACAGGTGCTCCTGTCCAGGGTCCCGATCTTTGACCATTTGGTTTATATGAAAGTCTTAGACTTTCTGTATTTCCATAATTCGTTTTCCTATGGACCTATACTAAATTTTTTGTGTTCAATCAATTCTCAAAAACACTTTAAGAATTGAAAAAAATACATTTTATATATATATATATATATTCAATACAATAATTTTAAAACAAGTTTTTCCATTTGTTTGACCTTTCCAGGGCTTATTTGTGACTGACCCAAATATTGTATCTGGGGCTGACATTTCAGTCTCATACAGCTCAGTCTTTGAGACTGAATTCAAACACAAAGTATTTACAGAAGCATCTCTAAAATATTGTAAAAAGTCGAGTTTGGTCAGCATCATATGGCTGCTCGGACAAAGCAAGCGGCTTCCCTTATATCCTAAAACAAGCTGTTGCACCACGTGACGCTCACGTAACATTTGAGGAATGTGATTTAATATTTTGCAAAAGCAAAACCCTCCCTGTAAGCGACGTCATCTGGCATTCGTTGGAGGAGAAAGCCTTGATACGGTGTTGAGGGTGGTGCAATCACAGATGGACTAATGCATCACTACCAACTTGAGCCTGACTCCCACTGACAATTTCAGCATTATTCATCAAATGACACTTTTCCCTGCTAACTTCTTAATGAACTGCTTTCCTGAAATGAAAATAATGTCTCAGGTTTGCATAATTTTTGTGCAATTCTTTTCATTCACAGAATATCTGAGGGAAAACTTCTGACGGACTGACAGTTTGTGTATTTTCCAAAAATGCAAAACTAACAAGCCAAATCGCAAACCTCTGCAATGAACTGATGTTGAAATAGGCCAATCGACCACAAATGTGGCTTCAAGCCATTATGTGTGGACAGCTTACCAGTCTTAGAGGGAGCAGTGTAAAGAGGTGTAAGCTCGACACTTGAAGCTCACCAGCAGATAATAGCATTAGGCGTTTATGGGAGGGTCAATGACAATGTAAAAGATCCGAATGTATAGAGGCAATTGATTTAGTTATGTTACTCGTCTTAAAAGGCAACTGAGGCATGCAGATGGCTGCTCTGAAAGGGGTCTTCCGGTTAAATGACTCCATCACTCCGAAGCTCATTATTTTCTGCTGGAATTAACATTTTCCCAAAGTGTGCCCATACTCTAACAGTTCAGGCTGAAAATCAGATTTATGTTTACGCATTTGGCATACACTTTCATCCAAAAAGACTTACAATGCAGATACCACATTACAGTTAGCACCAACCTCACAATAAGCTACCTGGAAGAAAATCACTCGTCGGACTCCGTTAGAGGCAACGGTGGTGACAGTGAAGAGATAGAGGGAAAGTATAGAAGTGGTAGAGGGGGTGGGGAAGTAGAAAGTAAGAGTCAGGGGTGGAAATGTTCTCTAAAGAGCTGGGTACTAAAGAATTTCTTAAAGATAGACACGGATGCCCCTTTTCTCCTAGAACTTGGTAGATCATTTCACCATCATGGAATGATGACGATCAAAAGAGTCTGGATTGTCTTGGGCACCGCTGGACGACAATCTATTGATGACCGGAGTGACCAAGTTGTGACATAAGCCTTTGCGAGAGTATCCATGTAGATGGGAGCCGTGCCCTGCAGATTTGAGGGTTAAGCAAACAAGGACAAAAATAGGGGGCACTGATGACCGAATGTCAATCAGAAAAAAAGTCTGAGTCTCTCTGCCCTTTAAGATAAGCCTGACCAGCAATCTCTTAGATCACAGAAAAGTAACAGTCTGTGAAATCAGGCTTCTCCACTGAGATAAAGGTCAGTATTATCTGCCTTGCTGTAACAGGTTAGATCATTCTAAAGTCTGAAGTTCAATAGTGACTGCAGATTCAAACAAAACCTCTGATTCAAACTAGACCAGGTAGCATGCGTTATTTATGGCTTCTTTATGGCAGAGAAAAACTTTCTGCTGAGTGCTTGAGTCCCTGCTAAAAGAAAGAAAAAAAGCTCCATTAAGAGAATGAAAAATATACAATTCCCTCAATTAAGTACCGTTGGAGGCACGGAGTGATACTAGAATGGGAAAGTTTACTTCGAAAGACTCCTAAACACCCGCAGGGAGCATGTTTGCCTCCACGGGACTGAGCCGTGTGAATTTTCGGGGCGACCCCCAAACATATATCCGCCGACGGCTGCATTAGCCCTGGGTTACTTACTATGGTCTCCCGGACGCGGTTGTGGAAAAGTTGCTCTCTAACCGTCACGTCGTCTGTTTCCATTCTCCGAAACCATACCAGTACCCTCAGCGTTAAAAGGGCAAGGAGGATGGGGTTGCTTAAAAACGCGAAAGACCTTGCATCTTCTCCGGGCTGCCGTGGAGTCCCGAGCCTTCGCTAGCTGGGCTGAGTTTAAAGAGCTAACCTGCTGCTACACTGATGAGAGCCGCACAGGGAGGGGTCTGGAGGGGGCGGGGCTTAGTGGAAAGGGGAAGCTCACAGAGAGCTCAAGATAGCTGTCAATCATAATCCAAATCAAGAGTTCAGGCGTTCACTTTTTCAGAGGTGTCTCAAACATATATTTTAACTGACATTACGGGGAATGTTGCTGGGGGAAATCAATCATTTAAAAATAAACAACTGCAAAGTATTTCCAAAACTCCAGATGAACTTAAAACTTAATCTTGGCAAGGTTGTATTTAAGCAAAAACCAAATACAGTTCTTACCTGACTAAACCTGTGTATTGTAACTCACTATGACCTTCTGTTGGAGCTACTGGTGAACAGCTTGAGTTCAACAATGGTGAAATTACAATTAGCTTGTAAATATACCATTGTCAGACAAAAAGGAACATTAGTAACGTAATGATACAACAAGAATGACGACCAATATCACGTACTAATAGTAAGTCTGCAAATTCTAAACTTAAAGACACTTGAAAACCGTCTTAACAATTAATGACCCAGGTTGAATTTGATATCTGGACTCGCTTCTGATTCTGAGTTTTACAATACCTTGTTGCAGGTAGAAGGAAAAAAAAACTAAGCTGTTACATTTCTGTCTTTCTGGGGTTGGCTCTGGGCTGGAATAGGCTTCTTTTCAGGTTTTTATGTTTGTCCAAAATAGGAAAATAGGTAAAGAACATATTTCACACTCTGAGTGTTTTAGAGTGTGTAAATTGTTCATCCCCCCAAAAAACCTTATGGAGCAAAACCATTCAATTGTCACGGCAACTATTTCAGCATCTTGATTTCCCTTTTGTATTACTTCAGATGATAAAGTACTCATGCCATGAACATTGTGGAATGAGACTGCTGGGTAATTTGATTGTCATGATCCAAAGTCCAACTGTTGCAACATGCACAGACTTCAACTGCGGAAAGCACTAGAAAGGATTTCTGAGGCTAAGGATTTAAAAAAGGACTAAGTAAGTAACTCCATTTTAATCAAATAAAGCCAAATGTTGTAAGTATAAATATATCAAATGGCCTTTGCCTTTAAAGAAAGTTTGGTGCCATCTATTTCACTGATCGCTTGTCGATGCCATATGGCCTGTTAAAAACAAAACACTGTTTTGTGGCGATGAGTCCAGCCAAAATGATAATACTGATCATAAGCTAAAATAAATCCGTCTTATATAATATATTATTTAACCAAGTCAGTGGGGAGCATAGACTGAAAATCCCTTTGAGTGTCCTGGCCAAAATGATAAGAGCAGCTGGCACAGAGCAGATGAAGCTCACATTACAAAGCCTTGTAGAGAAATTGTGCGTTTAGAAGAGGATGTTATCACATGGGATTAGAAAAAAACAGACATTTATTCTGGAAAGTATCAGTAATTGTTTTTTTTTACTCCATTCCAGGTGTCTGTAAGGATGACCACCTGCTGATCCACTGAGGTTGCAGGATGGTGAAACGAGTATTTGTAGCCTACGTCCTGTGGGCAGTGGGTGGGCCTTTTGGTCTCCACCATCTCTATTTAGGAAGAGACAGCCATGCTCTACTCTGGATGATAACCCTGGGAGGATTTGGCTTTGGTTGGGTCAGGGAGTTTTTGCGTATTCCTGCTTATGTCAGAGAGGCCAATCAAGATGTAGACAAAGAGAGAAAAAGACCCCACAACATTGCCCCCCCGCCCGCTAGCCCGGTGAGATTTGCTGGACAGGTTTGTGTTGGGATCTACTTCGGCACAGTGGCTCTGATAGGACTGAATTCCCTCAGTTTCTTCTACTTGATTGTTCTGCCTCTAAGTGTGGGTGCGGGAGTGCATCTGGTGGCCAGCGTGGGCCAGCAGACCTCAGATCTGCACAAAACGCTGACAGCCTGTCTCATAACGTCGCCCATATTCTATGGCAGCAGTCTGTCACCTCTTCCCATCAGCTTGGCTGCTAGTGTCACAGCCTCGCAGCACCGCAGACTCAAACCTCCCCGCTCACCTGATAGTACGCAGAAATTAGGTGAACTACTAACATCCTGTAATCGTTCCTTTTGGACATTGTTCACGTGACCTCTGTCTGAGTGGAACGTTTCTCTAAGATTGCATTTCCGCTACTTTTCATTCAGGTCCACGGATTTACAGGCTCAGTCTGGCCTTGCTGGCCTTCTCTGCTCCCCTCGGTTACTGCATTTTTCACAACACCACGGCCACCCTTTACTACCTGTCTGACTGTATAGCGGCCCTGCTGGACATCTTCTGGTTTCTGCCTTGGCTCCGAGGTGTACTGGAGTACATTCTTTTAATCCCATACAAGATCCTTTGTGGACTCACTGGAGGGAGCTATCAGGAGGAGGCCTGGAAGAAGGTTCTGGAAATATTGCTGAAAGATTACACCCAGAAAGAGAAAGAGGCTCTGCAGGTGAGCAAGCCAGAGTAACGAGTGCTCCGTACGGTTGGGCGCAGTGTAACAGCCGGTGTATCTGGATGTGTTTTTATTGCACAGGTGTTGTCCCTGGAGGCTGAGGCCTCTTTTGAAGAGATAACTCGGAGCTATAGGGAGTTGGCAAAGACGTGGCATCCAGACCACAACCTAGACAACGACGCTGGGGCGACGTTCATGAAGATCCAGGAGGCCTATGAGGTTCTGCAGCGGTGGCACAGGCCCCGCCGGTTTAAGTAGCAGCAGCTCTGTGTTCCCTGCTCACTGCATTACTTTAAGGTAACGATTTTTGCACTGTTTGTGGAACAATAAAGGATCAAATGCTGAAGAGATGATTAAAACACTTGCTTTTGTTCAGTCGTTGCACAGATGTTTCAAACAGCACTTTGCTGCCACCTTGTGGTGACAGAACATGCGGAAATAAAATAAACTATTTCATCTCAGTATTCAAGCTGCTTTTGATATCTGCTCGCTTGCAGTTGGGATCTCTATCTCTATCATTATCTAGCTATATATGACTGTTTACATGCAGACAAATAAAACAATTATACACGAAGTCTCGCGGCCCCACTGACTGAGTTACAGTCAATATGTGTCCAGAAAAAAAACTATTTTCCCGCATTTGGATGCTTATGGGAAGTGTTTGCTCTTCTTAACGCCCCCACCTTACCACATTCGTTTGGCACTTGTCACATATCGATGCATTCGGCAATCACAGGATCAAGGGCTCTGTTGTGCAATTATTCGGTCTGTATCCCAGCATGGGCCCGGAAGTTCTTTGGGATTCCCAGGTAAGAAAAAAAAAAAAAAAAAAAAAAGGAAAAAAAAATCCCGGAGATGCTGTCGTCGCTTGGGAAAACAAACAGCCATCCAGACAATTAAAAAAAAAAAGGGGAAAAAGGCAGCGATCGGTGGCCAGGTAAGCAGGAAGGCTCTGCGTACTTCGCCGGGGCGCTCGCTCAGACCTTCCACCGCTCTAGATTTTGGAGGTACGGCATGTTTTTGAATAGTTGGCACGGCGAATGCCGTTTGTCGTGTGGTCGGGTGCCATAGCAACGGCTGGTGAAAAACACCGCGCAGCCCCTCCGGCCGCCGGCCTGACGCGCTCCGGGTTGGATGTCAGCTGCGTTCATGCGGACGGTTCGGACGCTCGCAACTCCCCGCAGCACCCCTCCGCCGCCACCGCGTCCGGCCGCCGTCTGGACCGCCGGGGAGCCGGGAGCTGTCACAGCCGAGCCCGGTCCAGCCACGGATGTGAGGATAGGCAGGATCATTTATTTTTTGTTCGAATGGTGTATGGTGTCATGTTTGGGATCGACCGTCTGGGAGCTGAGAGGATTTTCAAGCCAGGGTTGGCCCTGGTGCGCGTCCCTATTTCTTTCTTTTTTTTCCCTTATCCTTTTATTTTTTTTATCGCGCGTCTCTCGCCTGTTGCTCCCATGCGCAGCCAATGCCAGGATATTAATTTTCCCTGAGATGTGTCGTCTCCGCCCCCCCACCCCCCCACCCACCCCCCCGTTCCCTCCAAAGTCTCCAGCGTCCACTGTTGTCATCCATTTGAGCAAAAGGTGTTGCCTGACTCGTACATCTTGTTAGATTGCAGCTCTCAGCGATAAAAGCTATGTCTGGCTGTTAAGACGGGCAAAGAAAAAATAATACCGGCTCTATAAAAAAAAAAAAAAACCTCTTAAGAGAGCATTGCAGTCTGGTCTTTGTGTGTCAACACATCTCACTGTCTGCCGCTGATTGTCTGTCTAACACAACCAACAGCGCATTTTCCTTTTTAGGGATGATGAATTAGTAGTATGCTGCAGGTGGACGAAAAGCAAAAAAACAGGAACAAATAACAGTCAAAACAGAACAAACATTAACTATCAGTGACATATAAAAGTATTATAAGGGCTATAATTTACCATGATGATCATAGTAAATATTAGCTTGTACTATAAAAAGTATAAGATTGAAAAATTATAATAAACAAGCGCATATATTGCAATAGTGGTGGATGATATAATAAATATATATTACAGCTATTCTGTCTACCCAAGTTTTAACTCCTCCTTCCTTGGCTGTTGGTTATAAATGTGAAGCCTCGCTTTCATTAGCTGAAAAGAGGAACAGGAATCTGCATTGTACATTTTGGCAGACCCAGGTTTTCTTAAAAACTTCATTACTGTGTCGTGAGCTTGACAGTTGGATATAAAAAGCATAAAAACTATCCGTGTTTCAGCCTCATTTCGACATCCTGCTGATAAGTATATTTTGTAAGAATAGACAAAAAGGTATATTATATCTTATTTAATTTGATTTGATTTTCAAAATGTATGAAATTCTATCAACATAAGAAAAATAAATGTTTGTAAACTATCTGAATATATGTTCTTTTTTTCAGGCATCTGGTGAGAGAATGAATGCTGATGACTGCAATGGCCGTTCACATGCACAGGGTACGTTTATGTATGAAGGAGCACAAATGTTGTCTTTACTGTCTCCAGACTTTAATATTGACTTTAATAACATGGACATATTTGTGTTCCAGGTAATGGAGGAGAGTCATCAGCTGAACAGGACTTTTATGGCGCGTTGCAGGGCCCTTCTACACGATCTCCAAACAGTCAGCAGTCCTCACCGCACCGCTCCCTCAGTGGTGAGCTCTCCCTTGTTTGATCCACTTTCTCCTTGTAGTTTTGTAAAACACTGAAGTTATATTGTATTTGGAAGTAAATGTGTTTTGCTTTATCACTGATCCACAAAGCGAACTCCATCAAGGTTGAGCTGTGCAGCGATGATGAGTCACCAGGTGCTGCACGGCCGGAGAACAAAGAGCCAGTGAGGGCCGACAGCAGGAAGGATGACAGAGGGGACCCTATGGAAGAAGGGAGGACAGAATTTGCTGGCGTTGGAAGAGACAGAACAAGCCTTTACGGTGAGATGACGGCTCCTAATTCTGCCTCGCCGGGACCCATCCGACTGCCCAACGGGAAGCTGCAGTGTGAGATTTGTGGAATGATCTGCATTGGACCAAACGTACTGATGGTCCACAAGCGTAGCCACACAGGTAAGAACCAGGTGGCGAGAGCAGCGCTCCTGATTATGAAAAAGATCAATTAGCGCCTCAGATATTGATTCCGAAAAGTCAAACTCTGGATTTCTCTTGGTCCGTGCACACTTTTGTAGGTGAGCGTCCATTTCAGTGTAACCAGTGCGGAGCCTCCTTCACCCAGAAGGGGAACTTGCTGCGCCACATCAAGTTGCATTCAGGAGAGAAGCCTTTCAAATGTCCCATTTGTAATTATGCTTGCCGCCGGAGAGATGCCCTGGCTGGTCATCTACGCACACATGCAGGTAAATGTCCCAGACAGGAGAACTGTTACGCCTGTGTTTCATCTGCCTAAATATGTACCTCACTTGTAAGCTTCTTAAACAATTTTAATACCGGATTTAAAAATTCTGGGGTTCACACTAGCTCCTCTGTTGGCCGACGCTGGCAGAGAGCTGTCAGCATCCCCCCCACAGCTGACACAAAATCCTGACTGTACACCTTCACCCAAAAGACAGAACAAATTCCGCAAAGAGATACTTTTCACACGCAGACCTGTGTAGAAAAAGGAAAAAAAAAAAAAATGTTGTTTCTAAGTGTGTCGTGTGAACCAAAGATGGGGAGTTATTAGAATGGTCCATTTACGATTTCTCTGAAGCTCAGAGGAAGTGGGTCTTCATTATGCGTGTATTCAGTAAAAAACATGAAAAAATGTAAAATGACATTTAACTGGCAGGAAATCCTGCTGATGTGTTTTCAATTTGTGAGCACACACGTATGTGCACCAGGTGCTCATGTACAGTTTTGATACAGTAGAACTAGGTGGATGTCTTCAGGTCTGAGATGTTCATTTCAAAGCAGACATTCTAGCGAACTGGATTTCAGCGAAATGATGTCAGCCTTTCCGACAGGGAGGTGGAACGTTCCGGTAAAGCGTTGGGCGTCTTATATTTTAGTCACTGTCTGCAACATATCTTAATCGCAGGGATTCCCAAACAAGGGGGAAATCCATTATCTCAAATCTAGCTGGCAATGTGTTGTTTTTTTTTCAGAAAAAAATCCCCTCTGATAAACAACTAAACAGCATCCATGTTTATCGAACAGTGTCCGCCAGATGAAAAAAAACAGAAAAACTGAAAGTTGTATGTTTTATCAAATGTACTTATTCAACGTTTTTCTCTGAATTTCAGGTTCTTCTCAGACAGTGGGCAAACCTTTCAAGTGCAGCTTTTGTAGTCGCAGCTATAAACAACAGAACACGCTAGATGAACATCTCGAACGCTGCCATAATTATCTGAAGAGTCTGGAGCCGCAGACAATGGTCAACTCGCTGGCGGCACAGGGTAAAACATCACAGAAACACGAAGCTCAAACGTTCATGCACTAACATATAAATCAAGCTGATGTCACTATGTGGATGTTTGACAGGTGAGGGTGAAGATTCGCTAAATGCAGAGACAGTTACTAAACCTGAACTGCAGCCATCCAGTGACAAAATCTGGTCTGTGGATAGACTTTCTGTTAGCATAACCAAACGGAAGAGGTCCACACCGCAGAAGTTTTTAGGTGAGCTCCTTTTCTTTCTCAGATAAAATAATAGCGTTCATGTTTTGTTTAAGCGTAGAGGCTCATTTGTGCCATGAAATGTTTCAGTTAAGGGGACATTCCAGCTTTATCGTTATTGATGGCTGACGTGTTTGTCTTTTTAGGAGAAAAGCACATGCACCTTGATCCACCTGAAGCACCTTATGAACTGTCCTCTGGCTCTGAGAAGGAAGGGGACTCGACAGGACTGGCTGGTCCGTACCTCCATCCGGTCAGGGGCAAAGGGGAAACCCATGAGTCGTCTGCACTATCTCAGCTTCACGCCGGCTTTGTGGCGGAGCTTCGCACCCCCGTGGGCTCCAGCAACATGTCTCCTCAGGGCCTCCGAGCCCATGGTGCAGGTGGGCTGGCAGCAATGTCCTTCGGCCTCCACAGGCGGGAGCCGGGGGAAGGCCGCGACGACCAGCCCTCGGTAAACAGCCACGCCGCCTCGCCCAACGGCTGCCCCGACTCCACGGACACGGAGAGCACAGCAGAAGAGCAGAGCACAAGGGCTACAGCCCCAACAAGTACCTCCAACAACCACCACCTCCACCACCAAACCCCAGCACTGCCCCGCAGCCATCCCATCCTGAGCCCCGGCCAGGCCAAAGACTTGGACACGGAGTGGGAGAGAGGGGTTTCAGCGCCCCAGAATGTAGTAAAAAGGGGTCCCGGCTCGCCCATTTCATCCAGGGACACCTTGCAGGTGTTGGACAGGGCCGGCAGGCCAGCGCGCTCCTTTTACTGCCGACACTGCCGCATCATTTTTCTGGATCACGTCATGTTCACCATCCACATGGGCTGTCACGGTTTCCGCCAACCGTTCGAATGCAACATCTGCGGCCACCCCAGCCAGGACCGCTACGAATTCTCCTCTCACATCAGCCGTGGAGAGCACCAGGTGGGCTGAGGACGGGAGATCACGGTCGCATGACCAGAGGCAACTGTTGCTCTCCAAAAATTGTGGGCTCACGTTTGCTCTGCACCAGATCATTGGCTTTGAATCATTTTGAAAAAAACTAAAAAGTTACTGTGAAAATAGATATATATTAAAGCAAACTTTTGGGCAAAATCGTTCCAATGCACCAGTTATAGTTTAGCGGATGTAAATTGCATTTTGATTGCGACTCCCATTTGAAATCCTATAGCAAAACTAAATTTTGCTTTAAAAGTGCCTTCTTTGTGGATTTCCTCTCAGTGAGAAAAAAATAAAGGAGAGAACTGGTGCTCCAAAATCTATACTAGCCATCTTTCCCTAAGTGATTTTTGAGTAGTTAGAGTGTTTAGGAAATTGCGTTCACATGCAGTTATTGAAAGCATGTGCATTTTAAAGATTATGTTGCTTAGTGTGCGCTGAGAGCTTTGCTTTTGTGGCTGAGGAGGGTATTTTGTATGGTTTGTCAGGTAAGCTTAATATGCACTAAGAGCTTTGTGCCTCTGGGTGTGGATGGAGCTTTTGTCGCAGACAAAGCACAGACATGGATTGCCTTAACTCTAACAGCAGTAATCTGCTGTTGGAAAACATATTGTTTACAGTGTGGTTTTAACAGTGTGTGAAGTCAACTCTGAAGAAAGGAATATTCAGGACAAAGCAAAATCACAGAGGAAATAAGGGAGAAATGGGAGTTTAGGGCTACAATCTAAAGTGGGTATTTGGATTTTAAAGTGACTGCCAGAATACTGGTGCAGATCAGACCGTGAGCCGTGTGGTGTGGAAGAGTCTCTCTGAATCGGCCCAGGGTGCTATACCTCTCTGCAGGATTGTACTTTTAGGTTCCCTGCTCATATATGAACACCTCTGCCCGAGCACCTCATGGCTTTTTACAGTTGATTTCTGTGATCGTCCTACTGCACTGATAAACGGGATAAGAGACACAATGCTCGTCCGATCTGCAACCCCGCTCGATTTTTAACGGAGCCGGCCTTCTACAGTGGGTCAGAACATTGCACTGGTTCTGCCGTCTGCACTCGAGTTTGCTTCAAAGATTGACAGAGAATGAACATTAGTTTAACTAAAGATTATTTTGTGGTGTGACACTCAGAGGTTGCAGCCGAGATTTTAATCACTTTCCATAATATAAGAAAGAAATTATTTAAAAATTCATTGACAGCAAATCAGTTTGAATCTGTTTTGTTATCACTTGTGATTATCTATTAGTGTTGTTTGTTTCAGCCTTGGTGTATTTAATCAGCTATATTCCAAATCTTATCCAGCATATTCCTCAAGTCCATGAAATGTTACCTCCTGCTTCTTTATAGCACCCGAATACCTTATTGCTTTATTATGGTGAGTTATTTGATAATGTTAATATTGGGAACATGAATGAGACCAAACTCAGTATTCTTACTTGTTATTGTGGGTTTGCTTCTTCATAGTTTAACTTGGTTTCCTTTAATAGCAAAAAAATGTACTTGAAACAATTTGGGGGGGAGAAAAAATATCTAAAAATGCACTTGAGTTTAATAAGTAGAGAGCTGTGTGTGTATGTGTGTGTGTGTGAGTGGAATATAGCATGTGTGCTCATCATTTTCTGCTTTTTCCTGAATTGTGAATTATTTCCGAAATGTGAAGTTATTCTTAGAAGTGAAAACGAGGCATGGGTTTTTTTCTCCTTGTGTGGACTCATTGTTCTAAGATATTTTGTGAATGACGTAAAATGACAAAACACTTTACCTCAAAGTTCAATATGTACAACTGCCTCATTAGTTCCAAAAGTCATGTTGCTTTCCAAGATGTTCTTGCAGTTATAATGCGTGGCCCTTGATATTTTCAAAACTTTTTACTGTCAATAAAGTTACATTTATTGTAAAAGCTATTCTCCAGTTTGACTGATAGCATCCACCTCTCTATGTGCGTGTAATTAAACATCAAGCAAGAGTCAAACAAGAAAGACTGTTTCTATCACAAAAATATGTCCGGTGGCCCATAAACGATATTTCACGTTGTGAGATTTTGCAAAAAAACAAAACAGGGACTTGATGACAATTTAGCAAAAAAATGTTGATCTGACTCATATTTTTTAACAAAGCCTAAGAGAGGCTACACATTCCCATTTATAATTTGTTTAGTGTTTCATGTTTATAGAGAAAAAATCTGCTAAATCAATAAAATAAGTCATGGACAACATTTTTTTGCCATTTTTCTAGGTTTAAACACATTTTTACTCAAACCAATTATTTGCTTTGATATTAGTACCACAGAGAGCATCATTACGACGTGAAATTACAGATTGAAATAAAGTGTGTAATAAAAAAAACAAGGAGTGTAAATCAGACTTGAGTTTGTTGTGAAAGTTGTATGAAACGTGTGCTCACAGTGAATGGGGCTTTATGTTTGACATTTATGCCTGCATTTATGCCTTTGTCAACATGTTTTATGTCAGTTTTGACCTTTTCTGTTTTCGACAGAGGAACACAGACGGAAAAACTCCTACATGGAAATAGAAAAATTGAGATATAAATAAACCCGTACACATGTTCAACAATCAAAAGTCATGCGTGCAGAAATCACAAACTCTCCAGAAATTCATGCGGAGATGAGGTTTTTCATGCCTGTGTGTCTGATTTGGGGTCAAAGCTGGCCACTACTGGGCTTTTCAGAACTGTGTGGCAACTTGAAACTTATGTCCAGCAGCTCTTACATTTCTGGGGAAACGACCGGTCGGAGACCCACAGGCTACAAGGCAAAGTAGTAGCAGAAAGAGAAATAACTGAGGCAGAATTTCCACCTGCTCGACCGGAAGCCTTCAGGCAGCCTACGGCGGGCAGCGCCTCAATTAGAACGCACCTGTGTCCCCAAGCCGTTTAAATAATTTTTCAACATATTATCTTCGTATTTCGAAGTATTTCCACAGCACTTTATTACTTGGCCGAACTTCTAAACGAGAAATGTGAAACTAGTGTTGGTGCTGCTAGTGTTAGCTAGCTCCGAGTAGCTGAACTCCCCTACATAGTATTTGGGACAAGCATTTAATTTATTTATTTATTTTTAGAAATACCAACAAGAAACACCGCATTAAGGAACACTTTTTGTGTTTCCGGGGTGTGCAAACATGCGGCGAGGACACCCCGAGGATGTCTAAAGATTCCAGACTTTGCAGTAAGAATTGTTCTTCCAACATTGACCGAAGTTAAATGTTTTTTAGATACCAAATGAAACGTTCAAACTAAGTTCGCTTATTTAGATTTTTGTTTTGTCCTTTTGAACCTTTTGTGTGTTGATGACAGTCAGGTGCTGTACAGTGCTCTGTTAACGTGGGTTCCCTTGAATGTCATCATTTTTTTCCGGCTCTCACATACCTGGGAAGATAACGTCATGTGTCGTCCCTAAGCAGCCAGTTGTATAGTTTCATGTTCTTTTTTTGTAAAGTCAATGTGGATGTAACACCACTAGATGGCAGTGTGTTACCATTTCTTTTCCCATCATATTCAAAGCGGTCGGTCTTCATGCTGAGCTGTGGATGGAGGCCATGAGAGTTTAGAACACATCAGCTGCCCACAGAAACCTTCAGTGTATGTGACCCCATGGGAAAAAGGATATTCATGAGTTCAAATCTCAGTGGGGACTCGCTGCGGTGTGTGTGTGTGGCGGTGCACCTTTTCCACGGAACCAGCTTCGAAAAGGTGGCACAGACTGCCCCTCGTAATTCTTCTCCGCTGTCACATTTGAATTGGCCAGACACTGTAGAGCCTCCAAGAGCTAGCCAGAGGCACATCACATTCAAAGAATTTCTACATCGCACAGCATTTTTCTAGTTGTTTGGGCAAGACCTTGTACAAGTGACCTAACTGACATGCCCCCCCCAATAGTCCTTAGGTCAGAGAGACATTGAGACAAAGTTGATTCCTTCCTGGAAGATTTATGATAGAGGGTCTCTGGCTGCTCGACAGATGTGTATCTGGTAGCCCATCAAAATCAGAACAATTATTCTATCTAGTTTGCACACCCATGTGTGTCCTAGTTGATCCAGATGCCAGGAAGACATCACAAGTCATAGCAAAGATGTCTTCCCACATGTTCGATGCGCAGAGAAGCTGCACTGTAAGGGGCTGTGAGGCGCACATGCTTTTGATTAATGCTCTTATTGTGCCATCTCAATTATATGAAGAATGTGTTTATTATTCAGCAGCTGTGTCACCCAAGGATGCATTCAGGTGCAGTGCCATCAATCTCTCAATGTGCTCTGTAAGACAGTTAGTTGAATTCAAACTCATTTCAGTAGAAATGATGACCTGTGCAAAGCAATTTCTTCCTAAAACTTTGCACTATGGGCATCACGTACAGTACGCGCGAAAAACAAAGTTTGATTTAGCTAAATGAAACACTTTTTTGAAAATCAAAACACAGCGCTTGACTTGCAGATTTGACAGCGTTCGCCAGCCAGCCCATTTATTAAATGCAGTAATAAAAACAATATTCATTTAGTGGCCAGAAGGAACTTCTTAGGGTGCAAAATGTGATGAAAAATTGCTGGCACTTTTTTTTTTGTTTCGTGTGTGTGTGTGTGTAGCTTGGCCTCTGGAAGTGATTAGGCCTCAAAGCTTGGGTGAAGGCATCACGAAGAGACAAGGGCGGGTGGTGGGAGCAACATCTTGCGTGTGCGAGTGTGTGTGGGACGCGGAAAGAGACGCATGTGTTTCCAGGAAAAAAGAGCAAGAAAGGGAGACCGGGGCGGTGCTTTTCTGCAAGCCGTTCTGTGCATGCATGTAGTCTGGAAGATGTGTAGCTCCTGTGGTTGGCTGTCCCCTGTGTCGCTGCCTTTAAAAAGCACTTGCCAAGAGAAATGTCTTCTTTACGGGCTTTGGCTGCCAGATGCCGGGGATAAGGGATCGGACTGCAGAGGGAAAGATGGAGAGATGTGCTTGGCTGGCCAGCCGCACAGACATGAGCGCACATTAGTGCACGTTCACACACGTTGGCTCACTTTGTGGGAAAGGCTCCCAATAATGCTGAAGTCAGAGGGGAACAAATCACCCCCAAGTCAATGTGTACCTGCCCCACATTCTGCCGCTCACAGGGGAGGTATTGGGCCCAGTTAGGCACGCCACTCTGACTTACCATGAATGAACACGCAGGTTGGGCGTGCTTGCAGAATCCAGGGGTGCCCCAGTGTTGGGGAATGCACAACGGGAACGGAGTAGCTGTTTACGTCTGTGCTGCTGTGACCCAAACGTACGAGGCGCAAGTGTGTCTGCTGGCTGGAGAGCCAGTGAAACAGGAATGTGTCACAGTTCCTGCAAGCCGCTCGGCTCCCAAACTGCAGCAAATAAACATTCCTCCACTGCTGTGTCAGTGCTGAGTCCTCGCCCACTGTCGCTGTAAAACACTGCTTGTAATTAAAACCAAAAACTGAGCATTTCTCCCTTTGTTTCCATAAGCAGGACTGGATTTGAGATAACCACTATAACTGTCAGAATTTTCTCCCTGCTGTTTCATGGCTCGGTGGCAGCGCTCCACGGCCTGAGTAGTCAGAGAGGACCGAGAGCTGAAACCCCCCCCCCAAAAAAACAGGTCGTAAGTGATTAGATGGAATGCGTGTTCTGCGAGAGCTCGGGTGAGTAGATTAAAAAGGGACATTCAAATGTTACATTGGTCTTTTGAATCTAAAGTGGGGTAGTTGAGTTGAGTTGACGTTTGACGTGTGCGTTTGCAGGCTTGGTTCTCGGCGACAGGTGACATCCTGCACGGGCTCGCGTCGTGTCACCGTTTGCACTCGTGTTTCATGTGGACCTCAGAGTCAGATGGCAGCAAACATCTTCCACTGCCGCTTCCCGTTGGTCAGCGTTTTCCCCGTCATCACAGCTCTGTTTACAGGAGGCTGTGCAGTGTTTGCAAGCACATCGTCTCCACAGAATATATCGTGGTTTGGAGTTTCGCTCTGCTGCTTAGTTTTCCATCCAAACCACCCGATCCCAATGGAACCCATTCTGACATGGAGCTCTATCTGTTTGTTATCGCTCATCTAGTTTTCCCAGGTTAACAACTCGCAGATGTGTAACTGGGGATCTTTCTAGGATAATGTCTTTCGCCACAATTTTTGCCTGCACGCTCCAGATGTTGTGATTGAGTGTAATTAAAGGTACACACAGGAGATGCTGAAGAGGGGACGCTGTGTGAGTTGCTGACGTTTATCTTTTTCAGATGCTCACTTATTTGACATTTGGTACAAACTCAAACGAAAATGATTTCCACCTAAACCTTTTCTTTAAAATCTTGGTCATCTTTGCTCTCTTGAAAAAAGGACTGGTCCCAGCTCACCATTTTGTGCCTGATTACTCTGTTAAAGGTTTCAGGGAGTCGGAGCAGAGAGCAGTGTTGGGTGCGTGTGACCTTTGAACCCATGAGAAACCGTCCGACATGAACTTGGGAGTGTGAAACTGTTCAAGGCCGCATTTGCGAATGTAACCTGAAAAGCTGTAAAAAAAGCAGGAAGCCCGTTGTCAACTCTGCAGAGAAACGCCACCGAGTGGGCACGAGCTGCGAACACGTGTTCTGTACTCAGATGAGCTCACATTTCAGCTGCTCTTTGGAAAAACTGACATCTGGTTCTGAGTGCCAAAGAAGAGAGGGACGATCTGGACTCTTATCAGCAGGAGATGTAAAAAAGCCAGCGCCTGCTACGGTGTCCATGGTGTGGAGGTCTCGCATATGTGGGAAGGTATCGCTGATGCAAAAGCATTTGTGTGAATTATCAGGAACACATGCTCTCATTAAAGTGACATCTTTTCCTGGATGGCGTGTTGTTATTTCAGCAGGACGCTGTACAGCAGTGTGGTTTCACAGAAACGGTCTGGGGCCTCGCCTGGCCAGCCTGCTGTCCAGATCTGTCTCCTGTCAGCGATGTGTGGCACATCCTGAGGAGAGGAACGGGAATAAAGGCTGTTGAGCACCTGAAATCTGTGTGCAGAGGAAGACTGGGGTTCCTCTGACAAGCAAAGCTACGCTTTGTTTTCCTGTTGGGTTGCTGGCTTGACATTTGTTTCTACTTCCTAAATATATTGGATTTGGTGTGTGAAGACATTACTCCGGAGTTTGTGTTGGAGTTTATGTCCTTTTACCCCGTTTGGGCTGATTGTCCAAAGTTAGTGTTCTGAGGAGCTGTGATCTTCTACAAAGAAGCCTTTTCAGGTTATTTGATCTGTTCTAAGTTCATTTTTTTCATTTTGAGCGATCTGCTTTTGTCGTGGCTCTTTTATTGAACTAAACACGATTTCCTGATTTAAGAAAGGCCAGTGTTGATTTTCAGCACGCATCGGTTTTCAGCGCGCCAGCTAAATGTAGTGAGAAGGTTTGATCTGGAATGCTGCTTTGGAGCCTTGTGCAACAGAGCAGAGGGTCCGGAGAACGATGTGGAGGAAAGAAAGCGCGTCCCATTCTAACAGCTTAAAGTATGATTTGGTAGATAATGAAAATCACCTGGTCCATAGTGGAACATAATGGCAAACCAGAGTTTGTTTGTTTTTTTCCTGAAAAACAGAGAGAAAACAGTGGTTCTGAAATAGTGGTGGGGTCGTGGAAAACAAAGGAAAACCTGGAGAAAAATCAACTCCCACGTAGGCCTACGCGTGCATCAGCTGAATCCCCTTTATGAGAACTTTGCGTGATGATAAGGCTCCTGATGTTGCTACAGATGATGTGTCACCCTCAGAGGACACCTTATGCGTGCGATGCACGGCCACGGTTACGAGCCCGGGCTGAGCACTCGCTGGAGCGTGCAGACTTATAGAACGTCTGTGCAGCCGCCATGGCTTTGGGCTATCCTAAAGTGTTTTTAAACTCAACATAACCCGATGTGCCTTTTTAAAAATGTAGCTTTAAAGTTGATTATTGCAAGCAATAAACAGAGGAAATCTTTTAGGTGTTTGAGAGGTTTCGCGATGATGAGGTGTTTTAAAGCTGAGAAAACAGTCTGAAAGCTGCTAAATATGTGCCAGCAGAGAGGAGGCCACAAAGCCCAGACCCTTCAGGGGTTCTGTAAACCTTTGTGTGTGTGTGTATTAAGGGTGGGGTTGCCCAAAATTTAAAGTACATTTTCCCCACATTCAGATCCACTGGTGTGTTTGTATGCAGGAGAATGAACTCAGAACATGCGTGTGTCAGGACCACTGGTACATGACGGGCACATGCATGTACACACAAGAACTGCAAATTCTTCCCTCCCACCTTAAGTGCAGAGCTCGCCCTCCATCTCGCTCCATCGGGGCACAGAGCCTGACCACAGACATCATACTGATTGCTCTCTGTGGTCGAGTGGTCTGTCCACATTCCCACCCTGATTCACTATGTGCCGAAAACCCAACAACGGAAAACAGTGGTTTTAGAGTGTCTGAAGGTTTGCGGACAGTGAGTATTTTCTGTGTCTCCCCCCAGGCACCCTTGCCTCTGGTCCCGGCCATTACCCCGCTGCACATCCCGGGAACTGGGGATCAGTTGAATGCACGCTCAGATTACGGCTTTGGAATGTTTTGGACTCGGGAGAAGTACGAAAAAGAGAAGACGCTGAACTGTGTAAATCCCTTTGTGCGTGCGCTGGGATGAATGTCGCCTCTCTCCTGTGTGACAGGTTGTGGCAGGCCGCTCGATGATGAAGTGATGGAGATGTTAGGAGGCCACGGGCTTTGTGATGTTGGGTGGCTGTTACTCTGGAACTGCCATCTGCCAAAAAAGGTCAGTTGCTAGGGGATGATTCTCCTGGACCGTGTCTGCCTCCCAGCTGCCATCCACACACCCACACGGGCTCAGACACACACATCCACATGCTGCTTTCATAATATCGGGGAAATATGGATAGCGTGTTAGAACATTTGACTCACTAGTTGATCCCGTCGTAACCTGGGGTTACTTTGATCAGGATTCAGTCCGTAATAAGTGCGTGATGAGGGTGTAAATACATATCTTCCTTCGTAACATCCCTGTGGTCTTCTAGTGGCACCAAACAAATGCCTCTCATTGCTACACAGGCATCTGAAGGATCTTTATATAATAACAATACCCCCAGTTAATGGGAGTTCGGCCCATAGACGCATGCTTCGATTCCGATGAAATGTTGAGACAGAGCAGCAATGGAATCAGTGTTTTGTGTCCCATTGATCATCACAGTGGTTGCAAGCAGCCTGTTGTTCAGTGCTTTGACCTAAACCCAATACTAAATTCTTTATCATTCACCCGTCCCATGAAAGCCAACTCCACCCAGTGGGTAAACATTATTCCACAATTTAGCAGGAATTTTAATATGAAGTTGCTGTGCCGTCATTGTGCCATAAAATCCGCTTTGCATGGCCTCTGTGACTGACCTTGTAGTTTCACTACAGTGAGGAAAACATATTATATCAGGATTTTTTTTAAGTGACAATTATTTTCCGGCGATAGCCGCCTCCTGTGGCAGAATTTATCGTAATCAAGTGAATTATCTGAAGGGCTAACTTGGTCATCCTAAACCAAATGGGGGTCAACTGCACAATATTTTTCTTTTATCTGAAGTCCCCCTGTCACGCTCCTGCCCTCCGTCTCTCTTCTTCAGCTTGAACCCACAGCTCCACTCCTCCGCTGGCCTACCATAGAGGCTGACTTTTGTGTAGCAGGGCTGTTGTTTTTGTTTGTGCCCTTCTCACCATGGCTGCCTGCTTGCCGCCTGGCAGCCCCGTGTGTCAAAGGTGGCTGCAGCAGAACAGACTGTGGGAACAGCCGGTTAGCCTCCCTTGGTCTCCTGTTCCCCAACCAGAGGGGCAGCCATCAATCCCGCACTCCCCCTGCCCCTCGCACACACACAGACCGTGTCACAAACACACAAATGCTGAAGCAAACTCGTAATCACACAAAAACCCTACAATGCTCACACCCTCTCCCAATAATCCTCGGAAGCAATTTCATCTCGACTCGGGTGGCGGCCCATTGTCGCCAGCCCCTTCAATCTTTCCTTATTAACTCTCGCTTTGTCCCGCATCCGAGCTTCTGGACTCATCTCTCCTACATTCCGATCAGTGCTGCTCTCAGCACTCCCAGGCAACCTCCATTCGCTAATCCCACAGCCTCCCCCACCAGCAGCCCCACCCCAAAAAGCCCTTACTGTTTTTTTTGTTTTGTTTTGTTTTTTTCCCCTTTCCAACCTGCCGATCACCTACTTGCAGAGTAAGGTAGGGGCATTAACTCCATGGGTTTTCTGAAGGCAGAGCGTGAAGGCGGGGTGGGTGAAAGAGGAGGCGGCCACAAAGTGACTCCAGCCCAGACAATTAGAACAATGAGCCGGGCCTGTAGGGGGCTAACTCGCTGCGTCACGCCTGGACGGTGGGGTATTTTGTCAGTTTAATGAATTGTCCGTCAGGCCAGGGCCACATCGCAGGCCGCGCAGGGACAGGCCAGCAGGGACCCAGACACTAAGTCGGTATTTATTACACTGCCTTTGTCACTAATTGAGCTAATTATCACTGACTCCTTAGCACTCCCACAGGCAGCACCCCCTCCAATGTCTCTAACAACTCTCCCACCTCACTCTCATGCCTGAGATATGAACTCGCCTTCCCTCCTCTCTTCTCAGTTTACCACTTTTATTATAGTGTTTCATTTATCTTCTAAATGAGAAATGCTTCTGCATTGCGAGTGAGTGGTACTAACTCCAGACCTATTAGTCAGTTTGTCTGTCTGAACGGTTTGTTTAGTAATTTTCCAGAAGAACATCTGGAGATAAAAGATGGAATAGTAGTTTTTATTTGATTTATTTTTTATCTCGTTACTTTTATCTCTTTAATTCTGTGACTGAGATTAAAGTTGTTGGTGCTTTTTGCCCAGAGAAAGAGCCTCTTATTTTTCTTTAAGATTCCCATTAACTGTTTATCAATGTATTAACTTTTACTGGTGCCCAAAATCTTACTCTGTTGTTTTCATCATGTTTCTATTTTTCTGTCACTATTTCCTTCTCACATTAGCTTTCCCTGTTAAACCCCTTTACTGTATGATCTAAACTATCTGACTGGATAAGCAGGCTCTGTCTCTGTGGTTGCCAGCACAGATGCAGGGATGTTTTGTGATATATAGAAAGAGGCTGCTTTGGTGGTGGTAATAGGATTAAGGATGGGACACCCAGGGACAGGCTTATATGTTCACTTGGCCTGTTGGGGAAAAAACTCTCTAAAACATTAATGACAGCTGACATCACATCTTTTATGCATTCAGGACGGCACCTTAACTGAAAAATATATACTTTATTGTTCTATCATACAGTACAAAACCAACAGGGACCTAAATCTTTGCCCGAAATCTAAAAATGATTCTTTTACATTTCTCTATAACAGTTTTTAAAAAAGTCATTGAAAATAAATATTTATATTTACACATATAAAAAAAAGTTCATATTCAGTGCATGACCAAACATAAGTTTTTTTCTTTGTTTTTTTTTTTTTGTTTTTTAGAGAAAACAGGCATATGAGCAATAATATTCTGTTTCTAGCAAGAGTCAGCTTTTGTCAGCTACATTAAACCGAAAAAGAGCAAGAAAAACAATTATTCTGTCTACTTATGGCATATTGTCCAGCCACTGTCAGGCAAATAAAGCATTTGGCAAACATACAAGTTTCATCTTTATAAATATTTTCTGATTATTTAATCCCTACAACATTTTGGTTCTCTTAGCTGATATACAGGTTTGTACAGCTTGAAATTCAACCTTTTCAACTGTCTTAGGTTTAGATTAGTTTTATCCTGCATATGTTTCTTTTTTTCTTACTTTACTGTTCATCCTTGCATTCTGAGATTCTGTAATTCACATAGAGTCTTTACTTCTAATACACTGACCCCGGAATTTAGCTAAACTACAAATAATCGTACCCTAATATTCAGTGTAATTGTAGTACATTCAAACATGCCCAGTCAGATTTACTCAAGTCAGTTTTCTGTTTTCTGCACTGAGCGCTGGTCATGTAACTTTGCGACTGTCCTGCGGTAAGTCAGAGTGGCAGATCAGGTTTAAGGGGTATTTAGCTCCAGAGAAATCTAAACAGAGAGAAAATGTGAGGGATTGGGCCGCATCCAGATCTCAAGTACAGAAGCTGGGAAAAGATAGCCCATCCCTGGAGATAAACTTCACACAGTTTCACGAGGGAGGAGTAAAACTTTGGCAAAAGAAAACAAAATACAGTTATTTTAAGATAACCTCCCTCTTGTTAGAGGTCCTCATCAGTTTATGAGAGCACATGTTTGTGGTTTTCTGGCCACAGAAACATCTGTGAAACATTGTGTCCAGTTTCTTCCCTCAGCGGGGGAAAACAGGGCTCTAGTAGTACCTGGTTACAGCAGTCCTTCTCCCTTTACTTCTGTTTAGCAAAAGTGTAAACACTTGAGGGAATATTTTTCTTTCTACATAAATGATTTTTCAATTTAAATACTAAAATTGCAAAACATTGAAGGTAAATAACCAGCATATATACTCCTCCGTTACCCTGTTTGTAGATTTGTGCTTTTTCACTCCTACCAAACACACTGATTGACTTCTTGTGCCACAAAAGTTCCCTGTATTGTTTTCCTTGTCCTGAAGCTTGGCTAACCTTAACCCACTGTGACATCAAAAACCACCCGTGTGCTTCATCCCCTGTGCTTCCGTGATCCAGCTGCTGGTAATGTTGAGGAGTTCTCTCTTGCCTCCTCAAAGACGCGTAAGCATCCGCCTACACTTCCCCCCCCCGATCATAGGCACTGGTGCAGCCTTCGAGTGCTGGTGCAGTTCAGACAGCTGACGTGACAGCACCAGTGGAAGGTGCAGTGGCAGCGCTCCGTCACGCTCTCCGTCTGAGTCTTGTACCCGCGTCCGCAGCACAGCAGCTCGCAGCCGTCCAGCCCGGGAGAAGAGCTGTTGCACGTTCTCCCCGAGGTTCCCAAAGTGCCGGTTTTGCCGTTGTAGGAGCAGAAGTTTGGGGACTTCTCATAGTAGACCAGGTCCATAGAGGAGGGGGGTTTGTGGGCGGGGTTTTCGGGCTCCAGGTGCCGGGGGTCGGCCCTGTGCGAGGCGCGGTTGCTGCCCTTGTTGGCGTAAACCACCCTGGACGCGCCGTCAAAGCGGTCCTTAAGGAAGTCCCCCACCGTGCGGAAGCTGGGCAGCCGCATCCAGCAGGTGCGCACGGTGCAGGAGCCGGACATGCCGTGGCACTTACACTCCTGCCGCATCTCCGAGGACACAGTCTGAGGAGATAAAGACCAAAACACACGGGTGAAATCTAACTGCACCTGTGCCACAAAGGTATCTGTTTCTGCTGTGGATTTTTTTCAAATGTTTTTATCCTTTTTTTTTTTTTTTTTTTCCAATTCTAAAAAGTCGATTCTAAAAGACATTCCCTGTAAAAGAAGCAAAGCCTCACCATTCTGCCTGCTTCATTGTTGTGCAGGTTGATGAGGTAGCGCAGATCTCTGCCCCGCTCGCTGGAATCCACAAACTCCCGGCTAAACATCCGGCCAAAATCCACATTGTCACTGCAGCCCCCCCAGTGCCAGTCTGGCCCTCCGGGACCTCGGCGGCGGTAATCGCATGTGCACGACTCAATGGCCCCTTCTGAGCAGGATCGGGCCACAGCATGGGTCACCCCTGCGCTGGTAATGGCAAATACAAACGCCGTCTCTCGGCAACCTGAATAAACAACATCAAAACTTCCCATCAGAACCTGATCCAGCCTTTCAGATTCAGATTTGCCAATTTCTGCCCAAAGCTGGAGCGAAATTACAGACAAAGCTTTTTTAAATGTGCACAAGAGATTCCATTACATCCTGCCCAGAATTGTCCAAATATTTCCCGTTGAGAAAGACAAGAGAGGCTCACCACGGTTGACAATTTTGCCAAAAACTGCAGGGCTGTGGGTGGTCGGGCAGTTCCAGCGGCGGTTGCGGAACTGCCACTTGCACTCCTTTATGGCAGTGTGCAGTCCAGCGGCGATGGCGTGCAAGATGCCAGGATTCTGCCGAATCAGCCGGCGCTGGCGGCGACTCAGAAGGGCCAGGCTAGGGTCCAGGACCAACTGCACGTTCTTGGAATTGGTGAGAAGATTGGACGAGGAAGCCACGTTGACAATGCCCCTGGCATGAGAACAACAAGGGACGAGTGAACCCGGAGCCGTGGAGCAGGGCAGCTTTTGTGCCCACGCCTCCCCAGGTGACCCTCCCAACGTTCAAACCCACGTCTGTTAGTGTCGTACGAGTCTTGTGGTTTTCGAATGACAGCTTTCAGTGCGTGCTGCGATAATAAACGGTGGCATACGTTATCCAACATCATAAGGGGACAGTACGTTTTTCAGCCACAGAGCAGGTTCAAATCTTTGCAGACAACCTAAGGCTGATTCATTCATTCATTCCCTTTATAGATCCCTCTGGTCAGACAGTTATCTGTCAGATTTATTAGTGAAACATAAAAGCATCTTCTTCTGGTTGAAATTAAATGCCCACAGTAATCCATCATATAGAGCAGCGCAGCCCTTTTCTTTTTACAGGTTTTAGTAAAAACTTTACAGGCAAAAATTGAGAAAATAAGAACATTTTGCTTGTAACTTCGACGTGGTAACAATCCTCCAATAATATTATTGACCATGCATACAAAGTCTAAATGTTTAGAGTTCAGGGCAACTTGTCAGTTGATATTAACTAAATTATAAGGTATCTCGGTTTGTCATATGTGTGCAACCATGCCACCTGTGCTGGATCAGTTTGAGGCCAATTTTGGATCGAGAAGCAGGCTCTAACTGCAGTTATTTTGGTGGTCAGATTTCAGAACATTTTGGGTGTTTCAGCACACGGGCTGTATAATTTTCCACTTTATCTGGCATTTTCTGTCAGATTTTTTAATTTTTTTTTTACTCCAGCGGTGCGTGATGGCTGTGTCTCTGGTTGAGCATTATCATCCGGGAGAGCCGGCCAGTCTCGGCCCGGCAGAAGGTTCTGACCCAGACAGTGGTGCGCTGTGGTTTGGGAACATAAATAATAATGACAATCTCCTCTAGCTGGGTGTTTTCCCCATTCCGAAACTCAAATTTTCCAGTTGTTTTCTGGGAATTTGGCTGACATTTATAAATATGTGAAAACATAGGCCCATCTAATATAATGGAGCCGCAAGAATCTTTAGTTAAACCGTTACCTCCGCGCCCCCAACCCACATTTGACAAGATTTTTTAAACAAACAAGTCAATGTGCTAAACAATACGGATCTGGTTTTATTGTTGTTGTTTTTTTAAATATCGAAACACAGTTCGGCCCGCTGTGTATGGACGGGGGAATGTTCAGTTTTAGATCAACACGACCCTGAACGAGACCTCGTATAGGATTCCTTTCGGCTATGAAATAAATCCATATTTAATTTGTCCCACATTGCACTGAGAAATGCTGTCTCGCGTTCAAGCCACACTGTTCAAAAAACGGGGGAGCCAGAGACAGAAAGCATGAATTAAATCAACCGCAAATTGGGGAAAAAAAGAAGGCAAAACTGTAATTATTAGGCCCACAAATGTAATTCGTTTATTTAAACGGCGTGTTGCAGCTAATTTGACCGAATTGTCAATAAATTAAATTAAAAAAAGAAGAAATAGCTGGTTGTTTGGCTAAATTGGGCCAATTTGGAAATGACAGCTTAAAATCCCACACGCCTTATCATCTGGCGGTGGCCCCTCTCCGTCCTGCCCTTAAGGCTGGACAGGCTCCCAAAACAAACGCGTAATTCCGGGCGCGCGGCGTGGAGTGCGGTGGGGACCTAATAAAACCCGCTGTTCCCGCAGAGCTGCGCCAGGTCTTCCCCCCTTTCCTCTGAGGGCAGCTTTTCTCCGGATGCGGGGACGGACGTTCCGGGGAACTCACCACCAACGGCCGCTGTTGTTGACGGCCCCCGTTCCCGAGAGCGAGGACACCAGAAGGATGCAGGCGGCTTTCACTCCCAGCAGCAACGCCAGACTCCTCATCCTGACTTCAATCCCAACACAAGGAAGTGGCATTTTTATTTCAAACTCGAACCCCATATCCCCCCCTTTAACATCCCACACGTGTCTGTTCTAATGTCTAAACGCGTAAAGCGTCCAGCCATGTGCGTAAATTCTCCCAATTATCGCTTAAAATAACTAACAAAACGCGATTATTCCGTCTTAACCATCAGCTGAATTGATATCTATCGCGTAAGGTGCAGGCAGGTCCTCATACTCACCACAGCACGGTCCGGTGAGAGGAGAGGGGAGAGACGCGGGCAGCCCTAATTGACTTAAATGGATGTTGAGTGGAGACAGGTTGCTGAACGAGGCCGAGTGTCCGGGCAGGATGCTGCTGAAGCTGCTGCTGCTGCTGTGCCAGTCCTCCTCACTCTGTCTCTCTCAGTGATGCTTTGCGAGGCGCATTGAACGCGTGGGACAGTCCCGAAGACTTGATCCCCTCGGTGACTGATAGGCAACACATTCTTCTCTTATTGAGCGCTACGAGGGGAATAAAAAAGGGATTTGCTGCTCTCATCTCCCTCTGTTTTTTTTTCGCCGCCTTTTCAATAGGATTGGAGGGAGGGATAGTTAATGCTCTTCAAAGGGCGCACAATGAATAAGGAAACACAGCTGAGCAGAAAAGAGAAAGGAAGACAGAGAAAGGAGGAAAGAAAAAAAAAAGACAACAGGCCAGTCCATGGCGTATAGTGCACATTACTTGGTGAAATCTCACGGTCGTCACAGAATCGATCCCGTGTAAGAGTGCGCGTCTGAGAGGATTTTCCCACTCGCGGCGCTCTTCCCGTGTCTCGGAGAGGAGAAGTGACCCCACTGAGGCAGCGAGGTGTCGTTACAGATGCTGAGTGCTCCCGCCTGGCCGCTCCGCCGCTGGTGTCACGGCACAATACACTTACAGCCGAATATGAGCCATCTGAAATTGCCCCCTTCTTTTTTTTTTCTTCTTTTTTTTTACCCGGTGCTTGGATTAGCCTACTCCCTAACCGCATCTCCTCCTCTCTCCAAATGTGCTCTCCTCTCCTCCAAATGTCCACGAACTGAGAGCGTCCCTCTACCTTTTTTTTCTTTTCACGGTAAAGCCTCCGCAAACTTTTCTTATGTCATTACGTCTAATTAGTTCTATCTCTCCTAGAGGGGCTTTTTTTTTTTACGAAGCAATAAAACCATCATCACTAGTCTTAACAGCCCAATACGCGCGTGCACGAGGGAGCGTGAATGCACGTGGAAAGGTTAGTGCACTCTCAGCTGTCCCATTACTCATTGCTGCCCGTCGGGCTACTTAAATGTTTTTCAAACGTGGGAGAGATGAAATATGGCCTCCAATCAGAAGGTTTGATGCACGACGAACCAGGCAAAGTGGGGGACGAGTAAGGATAAAAACCAGCCCTAACATCTGGCTTCCAGACCTCCCTCGATGCAATGTAGCGCAGTATAATCACAGCTTGAGCCACTTTGCGGCATCTCCATCAAACCCCAGACTCTGAGTAAACCCGAGCGTCCCCAAACCCTCTACAGGCTGGATCCCGGGTGAGTGTTTCGTTATGTGTCATGCGTTGGCTGATTTGCACGCCCCACCGTCCTCTCTGCGTGGAGCGCAGACTGAATGACATCTCTCCCTTCCCCGCCACCTCGCCTCCGTTCCCTCAGATGACAGTAAAAGGAAGTGGGCTTTTGTAGAAAGCTTTAATGACAGCCATCCCACGTTTATACTCCAGCCCTATATGAAGGTGCTCAAACGGGTTTCCTGGAGCAGTCATGCGACACCGAGCAGATTAGTTTCAATCCGGATAAAGGGGGCCTTTTATATACAAATCAACTTCAAATCACTTTTTAAGCCACTTAGATATACACACCAAGGCAGAATGCTAATGCACTTTTCATTGCTGCAGCTTAGGGAATGGAAGGAGATTAGATGAATTGGTGTCACTAAGCGAACCGTGTTCAGGGGGGGTTTTAACTTAATTTTATGAAAGTAACATACATGCACCCTTCGCTCCGATCGGCAGTGTTTTCGGGGTTCTATTTGAATGAACAAAATCAACACGCTAAATTAGAAGATGCCCAAAACCACACAGAAGGCCCAAACAGATGTCACGGCTCTGCTTGTACATGCAGGCTACTCGTGATATCATTTCTACTGCTCATTTAACGTTCGTTAAGTCTTCATTTACACCCCCTAATTTAATTTAATTTAATCCTTACAGTGGATGTTCTATGGGATGCATAATGCCGAAATCCAGTCTGTCAATGTAGATTTTTATGCATGAAATGAAGACTTTAGATTGACAAAGTGAAGTTGTTCCAAGCACAACAATGAAGAACAGCCGCTCTGATGGAGGTGGGAGGAAGGGGGGCACATGGCTAAAAACAGTATTGTTGGAGTGTCTGTGAGCGGAGCCGCCTGCCTGCTGCTGCCTCCCTGTCGTACAGTGGAGGTTGAAGTGCTCCCCTCCCCCATTCGTTATTAGGAATAACTCACCCCTTTTTATGAGCAAAGTCATTTTTGGCTTTCAGTGTTTCATTTGCGTTTCTTCGTTCTCCCTCAAAGAAAATGTAAGTCTATATTTTCTACACGGACCCATGTGCAAGCATCAGGAGTGCAAGCATTCATTCGATAATCTCATATTAAAGATGTCCATAAGATCTGGGATGTGACTGAACTTGAGACCCTAAATCTAGTACCAGGATATTCCACGTGCGTAAAAGTTTGGAGATGTCCCTTTACGCTTGGACTAATGAACACGTCCTCAAATAATACAACAATCAACTGGTGATCCAACTTTCATATTGGCCAATATTTTGCAAACAGCCGCCTGTAGAGGCATCTCCACCCCTCCCCTCTCCC